ATGAACAATGAGAACAAAACCTTTTCAGTCATCCACATTGAAAGAATTTCACGCAGTGACAGGAAGCCACTTCATCGCACACTTTAAGTAGGCAAGTTTAAAAATTCATAGTTGCACCCATCAGAATGTGCCAATGAATTAGCATATTTGGCACAGGTTCTGAAAACGATGTCGTAGGACATGCATGACAGAGACGGCCAGATGAACACAGAGTAATGAATATAAATGGCATTCTTCGATGAGCTCGATTCAAACGACAACGGCTGAAAATATGCGACTGTCAGCCTACTTGCCGATGGAACTTTGGCACAACCAGCCCACGACACACCTGAAATACTAAATGTACATCTGCGGCAGCTTTTAGACGCAATGACACTTTTAAACTTCTGAACACACACACACAAAAAAACACCGATTCGGATAGGTACTTCTAAATTTAGGATATTGCTCGTTTAGTAAAGGAACTTTTCAATGGTGTTTAGTTACACATTGCTAGTATGCTATGCATAAGTATTTCAGTACATCCACAATTTTCATTTTATAGACTTGTGCTGTACAGTACAGGCATGGGTAAGGTATGGCACAGCTAAGGTTCTGCTTCATTCAAACAGGAACTAATTCAAGCAAGGTACATATAGCTCGTAAATGAACACTTTGTTAATGTTTGAAGTTGGAACCATTTTCATCACAGAGGCAGCGCCAACACTATTTTTGACATTCTTTTGCCACTTGATGTTCCCAATGTTATGCAGCATCACAATTTTGCCCTCTTGAACGTAGCGTCACATTCACCGAGGCATGGCTTGCAATGGACTTGAATACCAAAAGCAATGCAGTGAAGTGCCTCACAGAATAGTTGCAAGCTAAATAAAAAATTGTTTGGAGAGTCTATAGGCTGCCAAGCAAACTTCCTTTCTGTGCTGAAAGCTTTAAACATGCTCTGGACGTAAGCGTTGATCCTTCAAAGGCCAGTGAAGTTGCCATTTCGTGCCATAATTGATGCATATGTACTCAAACTTAATGGATGCATCAGCTGATGCAGGGCTTATGGCCTCACTGATTTTGATGCGACAGAAGACACGCGAAGACTGAAGCTAGCTGGAGAACTCGAGCCACTCTAGAGCTTGACATGCAGATGAACCTACAAGACCTTTACAAAAACCGTCCGTTTTGCAGAGCATTCGAAACTCTGCGCGAGGCGAGGGTTGAGGGCGTTCGACTAGATGGGGCGGGAAGCTGCACAGACCAATCGTCGGAGGAGGCGAGGGGACCAAGAGGCAGGCCACCGGAACGCAGCCACCATGTATCGAATAACGACGCAGCCCGATGCGCGAAGGAGGGCGAACTGCCGCAGAATGCGGGCAAAGAGCCTGCGAGCATTTCTAGACCTGGGCGGAATTACAAAAAATTTTGAGACTCGACAGCCAAAGCAAAACAACCAATTCATAGAGTGCAATTTCTTTTTTTTTTTTCGTTTCGAGAAATTGTGAAACTATACTCTGTGCTAAAAATTAATAAAAAACTGTCAGCTCTCTTGACGGACATCGCTGTCCTTTGCACAGAGATGACGCATAAAGTTTCCACGCGATAGTGCTTACTCATTCTCTTGTGCCAACAAGCACCCCTTGAGAGTTTCAGATAGTCTACCTTTCCAAGCGAAAAAACGTTAACGTCACATGGTTTAAAGTAAAAGACCTGAACATCCTGGAAAACTGTACAGATTATCAACAATGCTGCTCAGCCAAATGTAATGTTTTAGGTAGTAACAATGTACAGTACTGGCAGATTCATCATCATCAGACTTACTACACACACTGCAGGGCAAAAGCCTCTCCCATGTTCTGCCAATAACCTGGTTCTGCGCTTTCTGCTGCCACACTATACCTGCAAACTTATTCTCGTAAATGGGCACTTGATGAAGTACAACTCGCTCTACAAGGCATGCCCCAGGACACCTGTAGTATGGCCGGCAGAAGAGTATAGTCTTTGGACGACCATTGCAGCGAATCACGCAAATAGGCGGCCAATTTCTACCCTTTAACATTGTAACTGAGTTAAGGCACTGCAATTCTAGAACCTGGTGCTTTGTTTATTACATGCTTATTTTCCGCTTTTAGGTAAACTGTTTCCATGCTCATCTACAACTGTGGGAGAAGAAGCTTCGACATTATCTCAGGGAGGTTAAGTGCAAATGATTGAAGTACCACAAACACTAGAAAACTACCACAATACCTATACATAGCAAAGCCTCGGTCTTGGCTTGTACGAATTTTGGGGTGATCTGATTTTTTCATTGGTCCCAGCCAAAGCCCATTGGCCTGAAATGTAATGAAGTACGGTTGTTGCAAGCAGATTTTCACACCACGACGTTTGATACCATTGTAACACTACCGTGCAGGTACCAACAGGTGCTGCCCGCGCTGTGGCTGAAGAGTGGACAAGCACGGGCGTACGCAGGAACCTTAGCGTGGGCATGCACTGCCGCCATTTAATTGAAATCACGGTCTAGAAAAATACTTTTCGAAGCGTCGTGGTTAAAAAGAACCTTTAATGGCACAGTTACAGCCTTTAAGATTATACGAGCGAACTTTGGAGGCCCTAATGTGCCTTCATATTCAGTTTACAGATGGCGTTGTCATTGAACCTCTTCTTTTTGATGCGTCGATGCATGCTGCTATCATACTTTATTTAAACTTAAACGTGCCTGCCACATCTGTGCAAGCCACGTCCTCGTGCATCAGGCATTCTTTGAAGGTGGATGGCGACCGAAATAGGAAGCAGATTGTCTTGGCAGAAGAGCTAGGCTTCAAGACTGTTAAGTTGGGCATGTTGGTAAGACATAACTAATGATGTAGTGCATAAAATATGTTTTGCGTCTGACATATTTCAAACACTATGTCATTAGTTAGGCCTCACGACATCATGCACAATTATCTGGTACGTCCACACCCGAGAACTGTCCGATTGTGCGGGCACGGCTGTAAATTGGCCGCAAAACGTCAACACCGCGATAAGAAAATAATAACAACAAAGTAGGCAAATCTCAGGCCTTCATCTGTCACATGCAAAGTGCTACTGATGTCACTTTCGCTGCAGTATTCTGGTATCGCGAGAAAAAGCATACAAAGATTAGGAAGGGACTAGCAGTTGTCATGGTCACAGCACACCTAGTGTATTGATGAAGTTTTTTAGTTTATCCAGTAATGATTGATTTATATGTAAGGTATAACGTCCCAAAGCCACCATATGATTATGAGAGAGGCTGTAGTGAAGGGCTCCGGAAATTTCGATGTGCACCCAAATCTGATTACATGGGCCTACAACTTTGTCCGGTATTCCTTTGAAGCAAAGGCATAGCGTAATGAAGGAAAACATGTGCCACAGTTGCCACCAAGTCAAGTGACACCATCTATGGTAAATAAAGAACTAATTAAATGAACACGTAATCTATATCCTCAGTGGTCCCCGAGTTACTAATCGCTAAGCCTGCAGTGTTGATTATTTGAAAATGCCTCTTAAAAATGGTGCTGAAACGACACAAATACTGTCGCTTCAGGACATGAATTTAGAGCAAATGAAAGCTCCTGTTTGGAGCTAGCGAGCCACAGTGCGCATGACGGCTATTTGACAGATTTGAAGCGGACAGCATCTGCTTTCAGTGGAGTGGCCATTTTTTTTCCGGGTCTACGCATATGCAATTCACCATTACTATTCAGATGCGTGCAAAACATTTGCGTATAGAGGCGTTCCCAACAAACTAAAAACTTTTGATTACACATGCATGCACAGGCCATATATTCATGAGTGCAAGGATGATCGTTGACAGTCTAAAAACTTCACTAACAATCAATCAGAACTGTTCGCAACGTTGATACGTCCCTGAGAAAGAATAAATGAAAACATACGCCAGCCCTCTTTTGTCACATGCTATTTAATATTTTTTGGTGATACGAATTACGGATGACACCAATATTTCTGGCGACCCCGCAAGATTCATACAGTTGAACCCCTTTATAAAAGACACTGATATAAGAGTCAAATGGGTGTAAGAGGCACCAGCGTACCCACAGTAAAATACGGGTTGATAAGGAAATGCATACGAGATACTCTGCTTATAAGAGACATCTCGTATAAAAGACGAATTGCTGCCCAGAGTATGCCTCTTATAAAGGGGTTCAACTGTATCATCGAGGTTTCACCGTATAACAGGAGGCCATTCTTGAGAGAGATCTATTGGACTGCTGTGGCAGTGAGGCACAAATGGCATGTATAACGTACAAAGAAAAAAAGAATCAATTGTGACAACAAAGGTTTCTTGGGAATTAAATTATAGCGTTGCCACTGTCCCACACCTAGGGGGTTAACAGTGAAGCTAAGGAGCTATGGGTTGTGGCTGAAAGCAGTTTGAAACCACATTCTAACCACTAGAATGGCACCATATTGTAACTATTATTGTCACTGAAGGTCTCGCCAAGGCGTGAAATGCCCAAACGGCAAGTGTGAACAGTGCTACGGCGATAAAAAACAAAAGAAGGCTTGAAGTCTCGTCCTCACTAGATGCCAGTGTATGCCTGCAACTAATAGGCAACAGAAATGCCATGAAAGCGTTCTAAACGCTCTTTTATGAGGGAGTTGCACTTGCTTCCGTCAGCCACATTGCAAGTGGCATGGGGATGTCGAAAACAGTGTGCATAGTTCAAGTGCCAGCTCACAGAAGTCGCAGAAGCCTTGTTACCAAAGATGCTTTGCCTCTCTTGCAGCATTCACTAGATTTGATGATTGATATGTGGGGTTTAACGTCCCAAAACCACCATACGATTATGAGAGACGCCGTAGCGGGAAGCTCCAGAAATTTCGACCACCTAGGGTTCTTTAAAGTGCACCTAAATCTGAGCACACTGGCCTACAGCATTTTTGCCTCCATCGAAAAATGCAGCCGCCGCAGCCGGGATTTCGATCCCGCGACCTGCAGGTCAGCAGCAGAGGCATTCACCAGCCAGACGGTAAGCAATGGTCAGGCTCAGTTCTTAGAAGCATGCAGACAGAAACATCATAAAACTGTTCAAAGCACACTTTTGCAAAAGCTGCTTGAAGCAGTAGCACTTGCTTCTGTTGACGCTGTCACAAGTGCTGCACAAATGCTGAAACCGGTGACCATTCAAACAGTGACACAAACTTGGTAAACAATAGATGAGCTCACGCCAAAAACATGACTAAAAAGAAAGCGCCCGTCTTGTCTATGCATTCCTTTGCGTTCACTTTGGTCGCTGTTTTGGCACGAACTTAATGATTACAGATTCCAGACGTGAACCAACTAGCCCCACAAAGAGCAAAACTCATGAAAGTTGCATGGGTCTTGTTACTGCCAGTGTTACAAAGTCTGCCACCAGTCAACCAGTGCCCTGAACGTGAGCGACGGTCAGTCGCGGACTTTGAGGCCCCATATGCTGGTTCTGCGGATGCCAGTTGTTGGGCGTGCGACGGTCGAGAAGAGTTGCTTGTTGATGTCGAGGTTCGGCAGCTTCCTGCGCACTACGTGCAGGTGGGTGTCATTCAGCACGCCAAACAGTTCGAGCTGCTGTAGTGATGGCATGTTCGACAGCAAGCTGCGAGTAATGGACAGAAAAAAATTAGGCCGAGCTTTAGCCGTAACAGTGTTGCAAGGTCACAACCTTGCAACACACTGAAAATCATGGTACAACCAAAAGTGGAACAGGTAAAGCAGGTAATGAGGGAATCTGGTGGATGAGAGAGCAGGCATTACTCCTCTGAACATTTGCTTTCAAAGCAAGGCAGCAAGAAAATCCTGCCATATCGATTGTCGGGCACAACTTAAGAAGTCCAAAAAGGCATCACCCAGACAACAGTGGCACCGCAGCCAGAAAAACATTCCCGATCATGCACTTGGCAATGTTCTTCGTAGGCAAGCTCACCGGCTGTCAGACACACGGTGTCAGTCTGGAACGTGAGCCTATTGGTGCAGCATTGTGTGGCCAAGCCTATCAAGAGAAACTGCTGCAGACTTCTAAAGCTGTACCCGACCATGGTTACACTTGCAGAAAATTTTCGTGCTGCCTCGCAACATGGGTGTCTCACGCACACAGTATAACTTAGAATGATTACATATAAGCACACAATCAAACGTCGGTATAACTAAGTCGCACTTGCAAAGATAGCTGTTAAACTAGGAAATTTTGTAAAACAGTAGGACCCGGATTATCACCTTTGCACTGATGTAACGATTCACTCTCAGTATAATGAAGAACAAGGTGTGAACTGCAAGTTACCGCACTTCATTTCGCTTGAAAATACTCTGTAAACTTGTCTCGCACGCCGTCAAATTCCAGCCATCCTGAATATCACTGAAGCTTTTCAAAAGGCGAACTCAGCTTCTTCGGTCACAATAGCGTTGAGTGAAGCAAAACAGCGATGCAAGGACTCGTACTGCGGCAAAAGGTAGGTTAACGGCGGCAGCGAAGGCGTTGGCATATTCATAACCGCACCATTACACTTCCGCAACACCGGGAACGGCAGCCACGATCTCGGCTTGTGGCTGCCCAATACTTGCCAGACACTCACTTTTCTTGGTCAGCACAGACTGGAAGCTCAGCCCACCAGCCTGCGAGTTGCCAGAATTCATTCATTCATCCTCCTCTGACAGTAGGGCTGTCAGAGGAGGATGAATGAATGCATTCTGGCAACTCACAGGCTGGTTGGCGGGGCTTCCAGCCTGTGCTGACCAAGCCCTTATGCTAGGCTGTAGCAGTGAGCAGGCAACATGCATTTCCGGTCGTCTGCCCGTAAACTGTTAGAGCAGAAGTTTTGAGCACATCTTGGGAGCCTGCTTAGGTTTGCAGTTTGTGTACCTTTTCAAGAGTCATGTGTGGTCGAGGTACAAGGTCACCATTTTTAGCAAACAGAGGAACTTGAATTTACGGGAGGGGGCACTCAAGTTTGTCAGCTCACTTCATAATAGTGCAGCAAAGAACAAGGAAACAGAGGGAAGACACAAGTGATGGCGCAAGGCACTTCGTATGTTGGCGCACACATCGACTCCGTTAGTGTCCTCACTCTTTGCCGCATTATTACCAATTGAAAATGACCGACCGACATGTCTACATCACTACCCTTTGCTAGTTCATAAGGAATGGTTGCCTGGTGCCTCATGACTGCAATGCAGCTTTTCTGACTAAAGCTAACATTATTATGATGACCTACTGGTCATAACTTGAAACAGTGGTGCAAAAAATCACACAGATACAATTAGTGCACTTCTTTTGCCCCCATTCCCCTGCTTTTCTTTTCGTGCAGTGCCGTGCATACACACAAATGCCACCACGTGCAATAAACAGAGTTGTTAGTGTCCCCGTCTTGCTTTGTTGTCTGCGTAACTTTTTTTTCGCTACTATTCACCACAGTTATGCACCGACAACTAGTCCACCAGTCTGTCCTTTAAAACTACTACAGTCAACGTCCAAAAAATCGAACAGTCAAATCAGAACAAACACGTCCAAAACAGCCTTAACGCCTCCCAGCGTACACTGATCGGGCACTTTGGCACATGTCCAGGCTCCGAAAAAGACATTTGCTACCTGCCGCAAATCACAGTGCCAACTGCCCATTACAAATTTTCCAAAGCGCTGCCAATACCACCAAAGACGGCAAAAATGATGGCTCTCTCAAATGGAGCATTTGGAAACGGTGATACAGCAAACAAAGACTGTGGTTGAACAGCTGACGATTTGTCCTGCTATCCCTGTTGCTTAAGCACGAATAAAATGGAGCATTCAAAAACGGTGATGAAGCACACAAAGGCTGTGGCCGAACAGCTGACGACTTGTCCTGCTATCCCTGTTGCTTGTGCACGAACAAACGATACATGAAAATTTCTGCTGCCATGGAGAATTTTTTCCTGCGTGAGCTGATCGTTCCTTGTGTGCAGCACATCACCTGCAGGATGATGTACACCATCACTGCCAAGGTGCTTGCAGTGCCGCGCACACACGCGTTTGTCGTGATAAGAGTTCATTATGCCAGCTGCATTCGTGACCGCACGTGGGCGTGGCGATGGCGAGCTGCTTTCATTTTCGAAGGCAACACGTCTGTGCAGCGCACTTAGAACGCTCACACTGTGCAAGGCCAAATGCATGCCGAGCAGTTAGCTGCAGACACCATAAAGGGCTGTCAGTGATCGAGTCATACTCTCGAGATTGCAGGCTACTATCACACATCCGTGCATTTCTACCAATCATTAAAGGCATTCGTCGAACCTAAATCAACTACGGGTCAGCAGGCCTCGCTGAAGTGGTCTATGTTTGGTCAACGACAGAGTCTGATTGGATGATTAAGGGGACATGAGCTGCAGAGCTGTAGGGAACGTGGGCTGGGAAAATAGAAATTGTGCTTTGATAGCTGTGAAATGAACCCAGAATATGAAACAAGTCTAGGTATGTTATTGAATGGACAGTCAGGATCTCAATTACACACAGACGAGAATTTTCGGCCAATGTTTCACGGCCCCTTAAAGAAGAGGAGCTCGTGTGACAATGCAACACCTTCTTTGAGCGCAGACTACACGGAGTGAACGGTGGAGCGGTCCATTGGGCATTCGATCATGCATTTGTCAGGCTGCCCCAAGATTCGCCGTGGGTTTTCAAAAGCTTGACTGCTACGATGGCCAAGAGTCATTTCTAGCCAGACAGGAATTGTCAGGCTTCCACCAAGTTGCACGAACACCAAAAGTAATGCCAGGGTTGTGTTGTAGCCGATAACGAAGCAGAAGGTGTGCAGTAAGGTGGCATAGGACACATTGCAAATTGACAGATTGCTTCACACAGCCAGTTATTACTAACATTCCTTGAAAAATTGTCAAGCGTAACATCATGGAACCTTTTCTTCATATGCGACAGAAAAACCACTACTTAATCTTGCTTAGCGGAGCAGGGATTTGGTTAAGAAAGAGCACTAGAGAAAACCTAACCAAATCCGTGCTTCTCTAAGCAAGACGTTGAACCAACTGGCCCAACAGCTGACCACATTGGAGCACCACTTATTGGTGGTTACCATCGAGCTACACGCGTTGACTTCTGTAGGATTTGCAATTGTCTTCCGCAGTACAGTTTTCCACCATAACTCATAACCGATAATGTAACTTCCCTCATGAGTTGCACATCAGTGAACAAATACATCACTGTACCACTCACAGGCTAATAGCACCGCTGAATGCATCCAACGAAACATGGAGTGATCATATTTGCCGAATATTACAACACTGCGTGCCAGGCAGACCCTCCATTTCGAAAAACAATCGCGTGCCTGTTTCCCTCACCTGACCAATCCTCCTCATATATGCAGCCTGATGAAAACTTGCCCATGGGCAACATTATGCACCACTGAGCTCGCCGATTGGTTCTGTGCCCTACAAAATGGCACCTTGGCCCTGCAGCAATGCAGTTTCAGCCATGCAGCCTGCATTTTCATTTTCCTGTGCTGCTCTCCGCCGTTTCTTTAGAGCCCGAGACTCCAGGAGAAGCCGGTATTGCCAGAACGAAAGCCTCCAAGATAAGAGAACAGTCTCATTACCATACTGCGAGAGAGAAAGTGCTCCTTGCTTTGTGTTTTCTGCCCGTGCCGCAATGACACTGGCTCACGAGGGGGAACCGTTCAGCCATTGGTTACGCGCTGATGACGTATCATGAACGTCCTGTAGCATTGCTGATGTCGGCGGAGTCATGATGACGGGCTACGCCCTCGCGGAGAAGGGTCACACAAAAATTTGAAACCAAATGAAACGGTTGTTCTGATCCCTGTAACTTCCTTCCATAAATACATATTTGCAAAATTCTTGCGGCAGCATGTGCACCTACTGAAAAGCGCGCATATTTCTCTCCAATAAAATTTTTGCACCTCAGGGTTGTCTACAGGCCCTTTAACGACCAGCGTTTATCCTGCCCGCAAGATAACTGCTGGTCATGAATGCCGGCACAATTCACGCTTCCATGTGGGGGCGCGCCCCCCACATGAAAGCATGTAGAACAAACCCCGTTACAGAGCGAACTCTGTCATACCGAGGCTTGACTGTATTAATATCATGACACCATGTGTGTCCAAAATTGAAACAAATTTGTACAAACACTTGGAGAGAAGCTTCAAAATGAGTCAAGAGAAGCTAGTGGACAAGTGCCACTCACAGGAAGGTGGCGGGCATAATGCCGTAGCAGCGGCTGAGGCACAAGTGTTGCAGCTCTGGGAGGCCGTCTGCGATGGCACGCAAAGCTTCAGAGGTTACCTCCGATGCGTCGCTGATATCCAGTTCCACGAGACGCGGGCATCGTTCTACGAGCGCAGTCACATCTGAAAGCGCAGGTGAAATTATGCAGTTGAGACACATTTTATTATTTTTTTTCTCCGAAAACAAAAAACAGTGCACTTGTCAGTGCTCACATTTTATCTCGTTAACACCTTAAACCTTAAAGAAAAAAGTGAGGAGGGGGGAAGGGATTATTTTGGACAGGTTGTTAGGAGCTAGTTTGAACAATGAAGACTTAAAAAAAAAAAGTAGACACAAAGCATGTGCTGGAACCATTATTTCAACTGAAAAGCGAAGGTTCTTGCCGACTACCCTAATGGCTGGGCCCAATCATTTTCATTTATTTATCCCCGCCCACAGCACCCTTGGGGAAAACATGAGGGAAGGGAAAAAAAAAAAAAAGGATCAAGCAATAATGCAGGAGACAATACAAGGGGTGCAAGTGAAAAAATTACACCGTCTCCCACTAAGGAGAAGCACAAGTAGCATGCAAAGTAGCGCATGGGTCGACTTAACGTTCCGTTCATCACTGGCACCTCGCCCGTCCTTGCAAGTGGGGCACACCCTGAATTCACTGCAGCTTCTGTTGCTGTTACTTGTTCCAAACACTTCTTGAAGCACACCATGCGGATTTATCGCCACGCCATACGGGGGCACATGGCTTCATCGCGCGTCAGCAGAATCTCGTTCTGAGACGTCATCACGTGATTGCTGAGACAGTGCAAGGGGGAAAGGCAGCTTCTCACACAGCCACTTGCACGCTTGGGCCAGCTGTTGCGCATGCGCAGTAAGGGTACATGCATATCCAACTAGCCCAACCTTCGATTCTGTGGCCAAACACACTGGATTGAGCTCGACCATAAGCTCCTGTGCATCTAAAATGATTTCATGGAACACTTTCAAACTCAAAAACTTAAGCAAAGCTCTACTCACAATCAGGATGTCTTAAATCCCCTGTGAAAAGACACTGAGTGCATATAATTCTGCTCATTACTATCACTGTTCCAAAAACAATCTGAGTTCTTTTATTATTACAAGTCTTCTACACTCACGTTAACACACGTGTTAACTGTCGCAGAAACGTGTACGCCAGGTGGCATCATTAAACCTTGTTCTCGGTCACCGAGAGCGAGGTTGGCCACTCCAATGAAAAGACAGAACACTCACGGTCATTGGTCATTTCAGTGCGACAACCAGCCAAGTTGAGTTCCTGTAGGCTGGGTGTCACGGTCAGCACGATTGAGTCGATGGAGGCTGTGGACAACCTAGACCACGCAAGGTTCCAGGAGGTTAGTCTGAAAGGAAAGACGACTAGGCTCAAGCGGCAGGATGGTCAACACCCCTTTCAAAATTCAGCGAGTCGAACATCAGCCCTCAGTTAACCGGGAGATAAAATAAAGCGCGAGAAATACAAATGCTTCGTCCAGCAGCAAGGATGCAACTTCTCCTACAAAACCCTTCTGTAAGTGAATACGACCCCTCCAGGGAGAAGTGCGCTTTTCACAGAGTCTGTTCCCGTTAAAAATGGACTGATGCTTGCCAAGATAGCACAAGTGCCAATAATTGCGACCGCGCCCTTAAAATAAAAATTCACTGTTGCTACTTGAGGGACAGTGCACTCTCAGTAAACTGAAATCTGTTAAACGGAACTTCTGCCTAAATAGAACAAATGCCTCCAGCCCAATTGGTTTCATGCTTGGATTCTTCCCCCTTGTTCGACCCCCAGTAAACGGAACTGCTTTTAAACAGGACACATTTAACTGGTCCCTTTAACGACGGTCTACTGTATATATCTAAGGGCATTACAAGAGCAATCAAACGCCCATTTTCCCTGAAAGAAAGAGCGAAGTAGTAAAGAAGCGCTGGCACACACCTCCGGCAACCCCTGCAAATGGCGGTGATGCCTGCATGTGTGAACCCCCGTGTCATGCACATGTTGAGGCACTCCAAGGAGCGGTTGGCACCAATCAACCTGCAAGGAGGAGGACAGAAGAGACGTAGTTCACGCAAACCTCATTATTGATAGTGCGCCTTTGGCGGTGAGCCAAAGACACGTTTACCGGGGAAAAACTCAGAGGTAAAACCGACCAGCTTGTTTGTTGCCTCTAACCGACCAGCTGTCAAGCGGAGCGAGCCCGAACAGCAACAACACTCTTCCTTCTCTTCTTTCGCTGGCGTTCCTGCCTGTGCCATATATCAATGCTACATTATAACAAAAGTTTCATCTTACATGAAAATAAATTTATTATATCCATAAGTTCATTATAAAGGTATATTACTAACACTATATCTACTGCAAGACTATCTTTAATTTACTTGGTTATAACCGACATATCATTATATCACGGTTCATTCTATCGAAATCCGAGTGTAGTACTGCACACTGCCAGCGTCTATTACGACGTCGACAAAGGCGAGTCGGCATGTCAAAGAAAAAACTATTCGGCCAAACTTGTCGCCCAATAAACTGAAACTGAAAGCCAGATTATACACACTGGCACTAAACAAAGCATTGGCGGTCGAAAATCTGATACGAGACAAGGCGCATCGGCATTTATTCAAGTGGCAGCAAACATTCAAGCGTTATCACTGGTGGCCACGTTTGTTCGAGAATCAACTCAGTTCTTTATGTTTGGGTGCTCAAGCTTAACACATGATCATTGATTGATTGATTGATTTGTGGGGTTTAACGTCCCAAAACCACCATTTGATTATGAGAGACGCCGTAGTGGAGGGCTCCGGAAATTTTGACCACCTGGGGTTCTTTAACGTGCACCCAAATCTGAGTACACGGGCCTACAACATTTCCGCCTCCATTGGAAATGCAGCCGCCGCAGCCGGGAATCGAACCCGCGACCTGCGGGTTTAACACATGATCATAAAATAATCTGGAATGATCTCAGACATTCTGATGTGGTTCGCCTAAGGCATTATCTACACGTGGGATAGGTCAGCGAAATAAAAGATAGAAAGGAAGAAAGGGCCACGTCTGTCAATAACATTCTGACAAACTGAACTGGGAAATAAAATATGGTGCTGTGAAGGCAATCCATGGCGTTGCCAATGTGTGGCAGAGGTTAAATGCCTTTTTTCTTGTTTTAGATCTTGTGAAGAAGCTCACAATCTACACTGAATCTCCAACTGATCATTAATACTTCAGGTTTAATGTACTAAAACCACAATGGGCGATTCTACTCCAACTGTCGCAACCTTAGCACTCAACCATCTGCGATTTGTTAGAAAAAAATTTAAGGACTATCCATCTAAAGAGCAGTCTTCCACAAAAGTATCTTTCGCGGAAAAAATTTAGTCTCTTACATGAAGACTTTTTCATTTTTTTTTGATGAACCCAAAAATGCCGTGATTGCTTTGTGTAAGAACAGCTCAAAGGCTGTAATTTGAGTCATCCTGCGACGTCTCTCACAATGCTACCGCGGCGCTAGCCGAGAAGGCGCTCTGCACACATCTTATTTCGTACAACCACCACATCACAGTATGACCGTTGACGTCAGAAAACATTACCAGCAATCATTCAGAGCTGTTCACGACACTGCTGCAGCCTTGAGAAACAATGAATGAAAATGTGCAACAGCTTTGGTTACTGTGTGAAATCCGTATCACTGAACATTTATTGTATATGCTGGCCAGGACTGGAGAAGACGAAGTGATCAAGTTTTCCAAATTTACGAGGCTTGAATCAACCAGCTTTTACTGTAGCTATACCATAATGAACCTTCGCCCTTTAGCCCTTTCTCAAGATTCTGCCGAAGAAAACGAAAAGATGGCTTTTGCCTTCTATTCGACAGAAGCGGATGCATAAGAAAGAGAGTTTTTAAATTCGATTCACTCCAGACAAAGGCCATTACCTGCAAACCTGGTCGTTCAGTGCGCACTGCTCCAGGCTGAGCTTCTTGAGATTGGAGCAGCTGGCCAGCAGCTCACACAGGGAGCCCTCGGTGATGCTAGCCATGCTCAGGTCCAGGTACTGAACCTTGCACACGGACAAGCTGTGTGACAACAAAAGGTACAAAGCGTGTTGTACAAGGCAAAGATAACCTGGGAAAGCTTGAAGCAGCACTGCTCATAGCCATACCACCTACAGTCAAACCTCGTTAGTGCGTACCCACGATAAGCATACTAACGGTTAAAACGTAGTTGCGGCGAATACCCGACCCGAGTCTCAAAGAGTAATGCATTTGTGGACCGCTTAAGCCGTAGTGTACGGCTTATGCCTATCAGTTAGTGCGTACTAACTGCGTACAGCGATAACATTTTGTGCAACAAAATTTTACTGCTCCGCTGAACATTGCAGACGCCACAATGTGCTGTGAATGGTTTTGCGTGATGTTGATAAGTTCGGAGATCAGCCGATAAGTTATTTTGACTTCCACACGATTGCGGCGATGACATTGCGTGTAACCATCGGGGAAAAAACGAAGGCGAGGTGGCGACCACCGACAAGCGCGCCGGTATGACTTATTGCCGGCGAAAAGCTTTATCACAGTAAACATAATTGATTATCTGCTCAGGCACGCGTGTGGCGTACCATCATTTTAGGCCTACTGCGCGCTTTTATTAGGCGACTACCTGAACGCGCTGGGCCGCCGATCGCTGCCGCTTCGTTTTGCAGGACCATGTTCAAGCGCGCACCGCTTTACAGAAATACAAGCAGCTCGCTGTTGTGGAGTTTAGCGTTGCAGATCGCGGGCATCGTGAAACCTTGCTGTATAATGCCAACATGTGCCCCATACAGCGAGCATAGCGCTGTTGTCACCAAGCTGCACGCTTTTATTTAGCGACAGCCCAAAAGCGCCTCCGTCCGCTGCCAGGTCTGCTGGAGCATCGCGGAGAGCACATCGCTTGAGGAAAGCTCTTCGTCGCAGCGTTAACCCTGCAGGCTACTCGCCAAATATGTGCATGGCCTAAAGCGGAGAAGGTGTACTCTACAGCAAGCGGATCGGCAGTCACTGTGTGCGCAGAGTGAGTGAAGCGCTGCACCCAACTAGCCACGCAATAAAAGATTTGGCTCTCTGCAACTGTACGGCGTGTCAAGAATGAAAATCGTGTCAGTTTTCGCTTAGACGCAGACCGCGGAACAACTGTATCACGAACAGCCGATTGAGTCCGTTCTGTCGCTGTACCACGCAGCGTATCCCGGATTCCGCAGCAGTTTCAAAATGCTCATCGGCGTCGCCACCGCGTGCTATCGGGCAGTTGTGCGAGAGTCAGGAACTTTACTTAGGCCAAAGGAAAGAAATAGCTTTGCGGTGGCCTATATATATGACAGCACAAGAAAGCACAATATATGACAGCACAAGAAAAGGAACGAAGGAGACTAAGGAGGAGTAAATCCTTGTTATAATGTTGCATTTGACACTGGAACGGCTTAATATATTTTTGGCAATTGGTCAGAAACCTCAGTTCGTACACTGCATTAACGGCCCCTTACTGCCAAGTGTTGCAAATTCGCGAGACTGAAAAACTGCGAGCAAGCAAGTCGCAACATGTGCCGCCTTTAATGCTAGCTGTAAAATACTCCCAGGGAACTCTGCTTTCAGCACGAAAAATCTAGAGCCAACTTGCTTAAGGTCTCGCCTATGCTAGGATCAAGTGTCGTGTAGCTGATGCTGGAGATTGCGAAGCACGTGCAACAGCTCTGGTTTCTTCATTCTTTCTCGCCCGAGTGACACAAGTGCAATCTTCAAGACCGTTTTATTCGAAGTGCACACACCCAAGAAGGGGCACGCGACATGTTACGTAATTCCGAAGTTAGTTTTTTGTTGCAAGATTCTCGCTTGTGTGGCATGTCGAGAATTTGTGTCATACCTAGAAGCATGCATTAAAGTTGCAATTGTACATAATTTAGCCACAGAATCAACTAAAGGTGGCTATTACAAGTTAGAAAATTAACACAATTTTTTTTTCTTTGGCAGTTTCATAATTCAATCATTAGAGGGCTAATCGCTTACTTCAATATAAGTGACAGTTTGCTGTAACCAGATTTTTTTATTTCGTGGTTTGACTATATAAAAAAGACAGACTAACAAAATTATTAACAAACAAGATACAAGAAAGGAGCACCCAAAAAAAAAAAAAAAAACATTTTTGCATTTTACAGTAATGCAGAGATGTGTGAATGATCGATCTGTAGCAGAATTACCTTTCATCCGACGGGTAGGACAGCAGAGGCAAGTCCGTGAAGACGGGGGCTTTGATCTGAGGGTATTCAAAGTGCAATACGTCAGACTGAGACGTACGATTCTAACCTTTGATTGAAGTATGAACACTCACTGTAACACAGCAAGCAGGCCAGATTCTTAAGATCAGATGGGCATACATAATAAGGCTAGAACGACAACACATTACATTTAGCAGGGTTCTCAAACTAAGGTGAAAACTTGAGATGCCTCATCGAACATGAGATGCGACCATCTCAGGGGTGGAACAGGTTACGGGAGTAGTCCTTGGAGCAGGCAAAAGTGCCTTTTGTAGCAGGCCTGGAGCATCCAGAAAGACATTTTGAAAAAGGCAAAAAGGCCTTTTTTAGCGAATTTGCAGCAGTCAAGAGAAAGTGTGCAGAGCGGATGTACCTCCGTTTCACGGCACTTGTACAGCAGCATTTACACAATGCTGCATTTTTCAAACCTTCAGCTAACTTGCACAATAGTCTTATTGTGACCTCAATTATATGAACACTCCTAACAGGCTTGCGTAATCGCCAGTTGCCCTCACGTCCCGCATGAAGACCACATTGGTAACATCCATTCGCACATCGTGTGTTCTACCTACAGCTAAAAGTGTGCGATTGGGGGTTAAGAACACTATTGAAGTAGAGATCAAACCAGTTCGGCCATCTTCGTCACTCGGAAGGCGCACGCGATACCATTACCCCAATCGGGAGGCGTAGCGTCGAAGCAGAGAGGAAACACCCTGCCTGTCTTGAACGAGTCTAAGGAGGGGGGGAGGGGGGGAGTTGTTTAAACAGCAACGCGCTAGCTCAACAGCGATTAGCGGGTAGACCATATGCACTTCTATGTGCATGCGCTCTCATTGCAAATAGACTGTGCGAAAAGTGTTGCTCTCCCTGAAGCAGCCGTATTCTTTTACACTAGCGTTTTCTAGAGATTTCCAGACTCACTTCGCATGACATTACGATTCATTGCTTGTGTCTCTTATAAGCAGAGTACAATGTTACTTTCTGAGCAACCTTCATTTCAAATCGGAAGCACTGGTATCTCTTCCACACATTTGTTTCATATTGTATACCATCGCGCATGACTTTCCAGGAAAATGGGTGAGAGAACGACAAGCATTAAAGCAAATGAAAATATTAACCAGAACCAGTTGAAATTTCACTTGCATTGATTAAGTCGAACCCACTTATCACGATCCCAGATATAACAATCTATCGGGTATAACGGCCATATTTCAGAGTTACGATTATCGTGCGTTATTCATTGAAGCCGTGCCCACATACAGTGAACATTTTTCAAAGCCTCCTACTTTTACAACGAAAACTTCCGGCGTGGCCGCGGTTAAAATATGGGGCATACAAAGGTAAAAACAGGCATTCTAAACAATGTGATAGATGCACACTGACATGTGCCCTGCTGCAGTTTAGTCGCGACGCACATATTGTAGGCCACAAAGGGAATTGCACGCAGATTTCGGAAGCTGCGATCGAGGTTGCTCACTTTACAGGTGTTTCTTCAACGACAGGAAGAAGGTAAAAAAAAAAAAAAAGATATAGGAGGCAACACGAAAACTTGCGCTCAGCTTTCGCACAGCAAACTTTTCTGATGCCGTTAGCGGCATCTATGACCGTCGCCGTGTAACCAAACAATGCATTCGAACGCAAGAAGCCATAAATGTGATAAGCAATAACTTTTAGTCGCATAAAAATTCACTGCGACTCAACTCGCCAAATTATCATCATCATCATCAGCCTGACTACGTCCACTGCAGAACAAAGGCCTCTCCCATGTTCCGCCAGTTAACCCGGTCCTGTGCTTGCTGTTGCCAATTTATACCCGCAAACTTCTTAATCTCACCTGCCCACCTAACCTTCTGTCTCCCCCTATAACCCGCTTGCCTTTTCTGGGGATCCAGTTAGTTACCCTTAATGACCAGCGGTTATCCTGTCTACGAGCTACATGCCCGGCCTATGTCCATTTCTTCTTCTTAATTTCAGCTATGGTATCCTTATCCCCCGTTTGTTCCCTAATCCACTCTGCTCTCTTCTTGTCTCTTTAGGTTACACCTACCATTTTTCTTTCCATTGCTCGCTGCGTCATCCTCATTTTAAGCTGATCCCTCTTTGTAAGTCTCCAGGTTTCTGCTCCGTAGCTAAGTACCGGCAAGATACAGCTGTTATATACCTTCCTCTTGAGGGATAGTCGCAATCTACCTGTCATAATTTGAAAGTGCTTGCCAAATGTGCTCCACCCCATTCTTATTCTTCTAGTTACTTCAATCTCGTGGTTCGGCTCCGTGGTTATTACCTGCCCTAAGTAGACATAGTCTTTTTCAACTTGAAGTGCACTATTACCTATCTCGAAACGCTGCTCTTTTCCAAGGTTGTTGTACATTACTTTTGTTTTCTGCAGATTAATTTTAAGACCCACCTTTCTGCTCTCCTTGTCTAACTGCGCCAAATTATAACGTAGCGCAAAAGGTTTTTCGTATTTCAGTAACGGCGGAGACAGGTCGATTAGTCATAACGACTTCCGCACGGTTGCGGCAGTGCCTTAACGGATAATCAGAAAAGAGTGAAGGCGGGGCGGCAATGATTATGCCATTTTGGTTCATAGCGGACAGCCTTATCACAGTCATCTGCAGATATGTGCTAGGCTGGGCGTGTTTGAATTGTGCGGAATGACGGCAGTACAAGCACGTAATGCTGCCGTTCGCAATTTCACCACCGTGTCGTGCCAGGCCACATGTGCGCGTTCCTTGCAAAATGCGTCTTTATTGTGTTAAACAAGCTACTCGCCGCACCCGAGCAGGATCCTGAGTGAAGCATGCAGGAAAAATTCAGAAGTGCACATACAGCGGGCTGCAAGCGGCTTGGCATGCAACTAGCTGGGGATGATTAGTTGGATGTGGTGGCATTGTGCTTCAGTGGAACGGCACAAGTTCATTGCAAACGAGCGTCGCTTAACACGTGAAAAGCCTAACTTGTCAGCGAAGACGTTGTTAGCACTTAAATACACAGAAAAAAAAACTTGTTGAGCCACTGAATTGTCGTTTCTATGGGTGGGTTCATATACATCGAACTACCAATATACCGACTACTAAACGCGGCACCTTCGAGTTGGTTATAAATGGGTCTGACTGTACTGCCATCATAAGCGGAGAGATGTGGATTTTGAGGAGCTTCGATATTATAAACATTCTGTGGCAGAAAGGCTTAATCCATGAAAAAGCTACTTTCAAGTGCCTAAAGGCCACACGTTAAACTTTGCCACTATGCAATGTTGCTTCCACTTTGCATGAACGAAAAAAGAAAAGGTGAAATTTGCGGAAGCCCAGTTCCACGTTTTAAAAATATTGCTTTATTTGGGTGACGACAGAAACACTCACTTTTCTCAATATATGTGATATACACTCAGACCTGGATATAACGAAGTATTCGTTATAATGAAGTAAATGAAAAACAGTCTCGCAATAGACATGATAATGATGAGAATATACATTTATAACTTTTCGATTTAACAAACTTATTTTCATGTTATATGGAACTTTGTTAAAATGACGTTTGAGTGCATGCTATTCAATTTGGTATTGATCAACCAAATCACAATTCACTACAACTTCACTTCGAACCTTCAATCAATGGCTCAATCCATCCCCAGCATTCACATTTTCACACACAACACTTCGACACTTTTAGTCCTGCCATAGCAATAGATGTGCAAGGCACTCTACCTTCGCTAACAAAGGCAAAAGCAATTTTGTGCAGAAGCACTCACATCGGCTGTAGCTAGCCTGAGGATCACAACTCCACGATTGAGCACGTTTCCGAGCACGCCGGGTCCCAAGTGCTTTTTGCTGAGGTCAAGCCGCCGCCAGAGACTTTCGTCAAACCTGGATATCCAAGTTGAAACATTAATAATAATACCTGGGGTTTAACATCCCAAAAACATGATATGAATATGAGAGATGCCATAGCGGAAGGCTCCGAAAATTTCGACCACCTGGGGTTCTTTAACGTGTACCTAAATCTACGTACACACGGGCTTCAAACATTTCAGCCTCCATCAAAAATGTCAGCTAAGAGATGCTTTGGGTTTAAAAAAATGTGTTCTACATTCTATTCCTGACAGGTCACGAGCTCTGGACAATTCTTAAATTTCCTCCCTAAAAATATGGCTCTACTAAATGAGTCGAACTGAGAAAAAGGAACAACAGAGAATTACAGTCACACTTTTGAAAGCCATGCAATAGCATTCTAGAACTTGTTTCTGGCTGAGTTGGTGCACAAGTTTGCTAAACACTTTATTCCTGGAGCAACGCTTGAAACGTAAGGCCTTGTCCTATTTTTCTGTTTCAAGCATTGCATCAGAAGTAACATGCCTTGCAGATGGACTCTCCCCTAACTTGAAGTTATATCAAGCAATTTCCAGTACAGAAACCATCATGAGAGCGCAACTAAACAGCACACACAAGAACCTGCTTGTGTGTCTTGTTTCGTTGTGATCTCAATTTGGTTTCTATGTCAAAGTACCAACTCGTCCAACAGCCAACTATTTTATTAAAGTTCAATATCCAGTAGGCACCGCTAAGGCTGTCGGCCCGGCTTGTCACTCACGCCAGCTCCATCCAACGGCGGCAGACCCGACCGCAAAGGGCCAATGTTGGCCTGGGAAGCCACTTGAATATTTCTAGGATGGTCTCATCGGATAGGTCCGAAAATGGGTCTGAAAAAAAAATGTAGATAGCAGTCGGCAAGATTGCCAAGATATACATCGGCCTGGTGGGTGTGACCCTATTTGTTTATAGCAACTCTTTAAGCTTGGCATGGCGTCATAGACAAGCAAAATGGAAGCTCATACGACGTTAGGGCAGTATATAATAACAGAACAATTAACAGTGCTTCAAAGTGATAACGAGATTTTTCTAGAACGTTATTGAATCTCTATGCATGGCTCACGATGGAACCAGAGTGCAATGTACTGATAACACAAACCTGATTTCACAAATTTCTCGTCGCACCACATTGGTGCTCCAATGCGCCCGTTTTCAGTTAGGTCAGGGCAAGTTGCATATAATTTATTCTGCAGGAACTATGCTCAGCTCTCGTCGTAAAATGCCATCAATTAGGCTTTGTTGACATAAGCTGTCATTTATTTTTTTCTATTTTTGCACTTTTTCAACTACGTAACATAATATTAATCCCCCGACCAACACATGCAGATAAAACCACTATGACTAGGCTCATGCGAAAAGTGAAATTTCGGTTCGAAGCGAATAGTGATTTCTGTCAAATAAATTTGAATCGAATTTGAATAATACAAATCATGTATTAAAATAAAAATTGGCATATATGTGACGACCTACCAAACCTGAGCAATATGTATATTTTAATTTGAAACAAAACATGCAAATGCCACCTTTTTGTTCAAAGAAAATGGAAAGGACTCCGAATAACAGCAGGATTTGATATTCAGTAGAATTCAAATGATAACCTGTGAAATATGTATGTCAAGTTTTAAAATTTACTAGACTTAGAGCATACGAGCCCGTATAGCAAGCTCTTAAGCTTAAAAGAAATTATGAATGGATGTGAGGGTGATATGCTCATTTAACCTTGAAATGAGACTTCGCATCAGTGTGGATTGTCTCTGAATGAGTGTTTTCACAGCTTAGCACCACTTCACTGCTACAAAACCACCTTTACAGAGAGGTTACACGCAGACTAATAATTAGTTATTCATTCATTTGGAGCTTCGAAATGTTCAACAATTTAAATCCGAATCGAAGCATTCAAATATTCACACAAGCCTAGTGCAGAGCCACGCACTCAAACTTCAGTTTTTTTTTTTTTAATCAACCTAACACACACTTGTGTTCAGAAATGCACAGGAAGGTGCGCTAATGCCCACCTTTTCCAGTGGCAACGTCCTGCTTGCTTCGCTTGTGAAGTGTGAACGTGTCTGGCAGTGTCCTCTGTGGCGTACCTAATGCAGACTGTGCATCACGTTTCTGTCCCTAAAAAATAAGAAATCAACCTAGTTGGCCACTATGGTACGAGATAGTCGAGCACATCAGACACTGCATGTGAACACAATGCTTAGATTCTAAACTGACAGAGAGAGAGAGAGGAAAACAAAAGAAACTAAGATTGACAGCCGTGCAAACCTCACCATGACAGTACCTTGCCCCATCTCAAATTTCAATCACGAGGTTGAATCGAGAGAACTGTGGCGACCAAAAAAGGTACCTACATGGTAAAAAAACACCATGCTACTACAACCAACTGCTCTATTCTACAGTAGGGACAAAATTGGTGATGGGGAGGGGGGGGGTGAAAAGAGGCAGCAGCTTGCCAGGCAAGAGTCTACTAGGAAAGTCTGACAGACCATTCATGATTCGCGGGCACGTTGAAGAGAATGCTTGCATGCAAGCACTTCAGATGTGGGACCTTCGCCACACCAGTCCTGCGCCTCAAAGATAAGGTTCAACAGCTGGCAGCTCGAGTGGAACGGCGAAGGGAGGCAGAATAGAGCAGCCTTCCCAATAAACAGGTGCATTGTCTGTCTTGTTTCGTCGCACTGCTATTAAAAGTGCCAGAAAACGCAAATGATTGCAACAAAAGATGTCAATGTGTACCAAGTTGGTAGTAAGAATCACTGTTGTTTCAACTTGTGGCAAAAGTAAATTTGCAACATGTTTGAAAGCACACATATCTTCTGCTCTGCCTGGACGTGCATCTATCTCCTCCATCAGCAGCAACCTTCCGTGCCAGAAACTCTAGACCCAATCCGGATGTAGGACTATATTACCGGCGTTTATTTTCTCGGAAGTATAGCGTTTAAACACCACCCCATGAAAATGTGCATAAGTAATAAATTTGCAATTACTAAAAGTTAAACACGCATATCAACACAGATCTTTACGTCAGTACAATTACATAATCTGCTTCTTATTCCCAGAATTTAGCACAATAACCAGGAACAGGTCATCTCATGATGACCAAACATATGTGACCTTGAAAACTCTGATGACCTTCAGGGGTCAAATTCCATGTTTCTGGATATAGAAATGACACCATATGTTCAGTAGTGTCCAGTGCGAGCTAGAAGATGCTGCCAATGATATTTTGCTCATCACATGCTGTCTTTATAAACTATAAGAAAAGAGAAATTTACAACCTCACAGGCATATGTTGCCCAAAAAAGTTGTCATTATACTTGCTCGCATTTTCTGCCTTCGAAACTCGGCACCCACAACTTCTCAATGGCTGCCGAGAAAGTTTTTGCCCGTTTGCAAAGTACTCCCCCATGCAGTGCAGCATACCAAACTATGCACAATGAAATGATCTGTCTGAAAAAAATAAGTTGTAGTGCAAGAAAAATATTTTAGAAAGAATAAAAATGTGATTCTAGCCTCGCCTCTTTCCATGAGCCAGCTCTCCCTAGTAGGTTGGTATTGCAATATATGAATCAAAGCATATGTATTTGCATTTTTGCAGTTATTGGAAAAACACACGCGCAGTCCTAAAAAAGTCTTGTGCCGCTTCATAGTGAGGAGGTGAGCTAAGCTCTGGCGACATTGTTGTGAGGAGAAGCCCTGCAGTTGGCATGAGCACATTGCACCCCAGCGACACGTGGACCTTGCACGTAACGAGAGTAGATCGAAGATTGGGCACACAGGGCAGCAGCTATGCATGTGTGGCGGAAGAGACCACTTGAGGCCGTACACAGAACGAATCCCTGAACAACTGCAGATGTCCCAGGCTGACGCAAAACATCGTTCGCCCCGAGAGCTTGAAGCTGTGGTGATGTAATCCACGGACTGAAAGGTCACTGTCACACAATCCAGGTGCAATTGCAAGATAGTTCCGAGCAACGAGCGTTTTTCGCAGCACAGGTGCGCACCCATGCGCGCGTGCCAACCCCGCCGTAGGAGAGACTAGCGACACTGGATGCGGCCCTGTGTTTGATATAACGATACAAGTGAAACCAATGCAGCTTAAAACTGGCTGAAAAGGACACCTTCACATCTTATACCTGCGACAGGCCTCCGAAAATAACTTTACAAATTAAACCTTCTCAACTACAAGCGACAGCACTCTATTGAATAGCTGGCATAAATTTCAGATATTTATTACAGCTCAACATTGTCAGATTGTGAAGCTGACACCTTAACTCAATATTCAACTTGCAAAGGTTCTTTTGATTACAGAGCTTTGTAGATAACCACGAGAAGCATGCACTTCTGTCATGTTCATCAGCCAAGCACATTTTCCCAACAACACACGCACATTGGCTCGCGCAAATGGCCGTCAAAAATTGCTACTGTGCCAAGACGGGCAAATTCAAACTGATTCTGAAAGTTCAGTGGCTGGACTAATCGCAAGGAAGTGCTCGGTGAACGAGAAATAGATTCAATATGCCTAAATCGATGACTCAGATAGTCGATCACCAATGATCAATTTGAATAGGTGCGGTAATGAAAGAGTTAACAAGTGACTACCCTTGATGACTACAATTGAATGCCTGCAAACATTGTACTTCACAACTTGCTGGTGTAGTATGCATATTAAACTGGTTTCAGCAAAATGGGACATAGGACAAGTTGGTATAGCGTCATACAGGCTAACAGTGCAACAGAATACAGACGAAAGGCAGAGAAAGCAGATGCAACATCACGCTGACTATCAAATAAAGTTAGCACTACATGCAGAATTTTTGCCAGTTTTATGGGGCCGAGTTTCTCCGCACCGCCACATACATCACCAGTGAGGGCGACGAACCACATGAGAAGCGTTGGGACCAGTACCAGCTCAGTGTGGCACATTGGGGCCAGAGGAAAAAGACCTGACACTTCGCCAAGCAGTGTGCAGTTTCGGTCTATGTACAAGCAAGAGATATTCCACATTATAACTTTAGTCTCTTTTGCAGTTTAGTAGTGTGAAAAACGAGCCAAGGTTCTGCTGAAAGGCCCATTTTCGTTCAGTTTCTTGTAGCACAAGCTATTAAAATTAAGACCCTCTAACTTGTAATATATGGTTTCCAAGCTTGAAGTTCTTGCACATCCTTGAGGTCTCATATTTGGCCAATGAACTCAATCCTGCCAAGCCAACCGAAGAACTTGAGTACGTTTCTCGAGATCAGTTCCAAGATATCATGAGCGCTTTGGTGCCGAAGCTTATAATTGTTATGTGGGGTTTAACGTCTGAAAATCACCATATAATTAATTATGAGAGACACTGTACGAAGGGCTCCGGAAATTTTGACCACGTGGGGTGCTTGAATGTGCACCCAAATCTGAGCTCACGGGCCTACACCATTTTCGCCTCCAGCGTAAATACAGCCGCCGCATGTTGAACCTTATAGGGAACAAACTAAGTCAAATACAAGCATCAGTCGAAAATTGGCAAACCACATCGTGCACGGTGATCACTCATCAGATCTGAGGCAGGCATTTTGGCAGCAGCGACGATTACGTCGACGCAAGTCACTGCCAGCCACATTCTGGTTAATTTTTGATGCGTAGAAATATTTTTTGGGCAGTGATGATGAGGCTGCAGATGTCTGGGAGGTCGCGATATGGGTGCCTGAGGCCAGCGCCACCAATACGCCAACAAAATGCTGCATGTGGTTCGGCCTTTATTACTCAAACCCCACACATATAATGCGCACAATATGTGGCTAAATCTTGCTCAGATAAACAATAGATTATCAATAACAAAAAAAAGTAAAATGCTTTGCTAACATGAAAAATGATGACAAAGCCAATCAAAGGTTAACTCAGATGCCGAGAAAGCAATGGTAAACGTTACGCAGCACTACGCAAGCAAATCCACCCCCCCCCCCGAAGCAACACAAAATGTTTGCCCATAAGCGTTCAAGTTACGGAATGAAGGCCTGGGTCACAATCAGTTCCCTTGTTTCTTATGAAGTTCCAGAATGTTGCTTTTGATCTCTGTTGATTTGTACTGCTAGGCAGTATGGTTTAAACAATTTCACAGTTTCATTCACCCCCTTGAACCCGCACAGAAAATTCAAGATCAAAACGTGAGGAACATGCGGTGTGCTACCTTGGAAAATCTTCGTGAAGCCCGTGGTGGCGATGGCTGCACCAATAAAATACTGCTAGACGGTGGAGATTCGTCGAGGTAGTCTATGCCCATGTCCTTCAGAATGTCCGGAGGAACGCGACCGTCCTTTTCCCAATTGTCCGGCGACGTCGAGCTGACATCACTGTCTCCGGCGAGGTCAATATTTTCAATGTTCATGTCTGCCACATCTTTGATGCTGGAACACTTGGAAAGGCTCCTTCGCCGTTTTCGCAACGGCTGGTTCGTCGAAACTTCCTGAAGGGGGCTGCGACTTTTGCTGCACGAAATAAAAATTTGGAGATGTTAGTTGTGCATGTTGAGGCACATAGATTATCAAGATTATCCACGGGCACAACAGCACGACTGAGCTCGCATCAACTTGCGCCTTGAAATGACTAGAAAGCGCCGATAAGCACGCACATGAGATTGTGTAAGAGTTGAAGTCCGGGCAAGTTCAATTGATTGATTGATTTGTGGGGTTTAACGTCCCAAAACCACCATTTGATTATGAGAGACGCCGTAGTGGAGGGCTCCGGAAATTTGGACCACCTGGGGTTCTTTAACGTGCACCCAAATCTGAGTACACGGGCCTACAACATTTCCGCCTCCATCGGAAATGCAGCCGCCGCAGCCGGGAATCGAACCCGCGACCTGCGGGTCAGCAGCCGAGTACCTTAGCCACTAGACCACCGCGGCGGGGCGGGCAAGTTCAATCGATCAAAAGTTTATTTCACCACAATATTCTGGACGGTCTTCAGGGCTAAAAGTTGCTCTAGGCAGCCGGGCTAGGCCCCTGAAAACACTTGCATTGGTATGGTTTCTCTTTGCTTCTGTTTGTTCTGCATTGTTTCCTGTTCTTTGATGCGCTGTTAATACTTCATAACACGAAACAGCGCAGACTCACGAGACAAAGATTGACAGACTTGTCTCTTGTGTATGTGCTGTTCCCTGGGATGAAGCCATGCCAACAAGCTCAACTTTATGCCCCTTTCATTGTTAATACTTGCTAATGAATTCAAATTAGGAAAAGCAAATGCAACAGCCCTGCGTGAATAGGCATAATAGGTTACTGTGGTAATGTTTAACCCATTTGTGACGGGTGATGAGTAGTGTTGTCATAAGATTTTCCAACGAAATGACTAATGAAGACTATATTTGTTGTAGTTAGGAGAGTTTAATTCTCCTCCCGTTTCTTGTCTTACATTCCATTGTCGCCTGTGCTACCACGGCACATGCATCATCTCTTTATGCAATTACAAAAATAAAGAAAAATCATTGCTTTAAAATAACTATTATAAAGAAACTCTACAAAGTGACTGATTTGAGGGGTTTAACGTCCCAAAACCACCATTTGATTATGAAAGACGCCGTAGTGGAGGGCTATGGAAATTTCGACCACCTGGGGTTCTTTAACGTGCACCCAAATCAGAGTACACAGGCCTACAACATTCCCCCCTCCATCGGAAATGCAGCCACCACAGCCGGGATTTGATCCCGCGTCCTGCGGGTCAGCAGCCGAGTACCTTAGCCACTAAACCACCGTGGCGGGACGATAAACTCTACAAAGTGAGCAAAAAGGATATGCTCAGACATTTTGGCAAGTTTTTCTTCTGTTATTTTGGTCCTGAAAGGGTTAGTAAACTAACATGCCACAACTACTGTCGTTTGCCAAAGATCCTAAAAGCTATTAACACATAGAGTCAAGCGTGATTTCAAGGTTATCCTGCCCGCATCGAATGGTCAAGCGACCAAAGGCGCCAGCAGCCAGTTTCAGAACAGTGAAAATCAAGATTCTGCATTCTTTTCTACGTTGGCAGTTCTATGCTACAACGGCCACACACACCTTACCACCGACAAATTGGCCACCTTTTCTCTCTATTTTAAAGGGGCCCTGCAACACTTTCTCAAATAGCCATGGAATGGATTCACCAAAGGAGCTTATTGCCCGACGCATTCACTGCCACAATAATTTTCAGAATCTGCCCAGTAAAAGCAGAGTTATAAAGATTTGCCACACGCTGCAATTGCATTCTCTCTTACAACGAAAGTGCTGGAAGCTAAGCAGGGAGGGAAGGCAACAGGAAAAAAAAAGCATATGTGACATGCACCTTGTGACCTTATCTTTCTTTTGTTTCTTCAAATACGCGGCTCTTCAGTGCAATTGCGCATGCACACGCAGACAAGTCACAGCTCCTGTTACGACCCACACCACCATGCAAAAATCAGCCAATAACTGTGACGAGCAATTTTTGAGCTTGTATCACCATTTGTCAAGACCAGAGAAATAAATTTTTAGCTGATTTTGAGAAACTATCGTGAATTACAGGCCGCATGCTGAGCTGCAATATTTGGCTTCCGTGCTCTTGGGAAGTGTAGCAGGGGCCCTCTAAGCTTTGCATTCATTGCGATGAACTGTACACTAGGTTAGTGAAGATGCACCTTCAGTGCTTCCAATTCCTTGCAATACCGAAGAGGACGTTGCATTCTATACCACCACGTCTTATTGCAGGAAAAACAAAAAAAAACTGCACCTTATTCTGACGGGAGTGACCACAGCTTAAGGAAGAGTAAGAAGTGTGAGGGAAGCTTTCCTGGTACTTGCTCCTCAAAGAGGATTTATTCTTAGTCTATGCTTGCATGATAGTCTTGAAATCACACTAGACTACATTCGTACACATAAGCATACCCATATTATTATAATAATCTTTATTGCACACAACATGAAAAGAAGGGAAGGTGGTATAGGATAGATAGATATGTGGGGTTTAACGTCCCAAAACCACCATATGATTACGAGAGACGCCGTAGTGGAGGGCTCCGGAAATTTCGACCACCTAGGGTTCTTTATTGTGGGCACACGGGCATTCAGAATTTTCACCTCCTTCAAAAATGCAGCCGCCGAGTGCCTTAGCCACTAGACCACCGCGGCGGGAGGAAATCGCTCTGGGCAGCACTCTAGGCGTGGCGGATAGGGGCAAGCTTGTTCACTGAGCACTTGTGATCTAGTACACCCCCAGGGGGTGGTGTGTATGCACCACTTCCACTGTACTTCTGGGGGCAACTATCGAAGAAATGATGTAGGAGGCCGATGTGGCCAACGATAACAGAGCATTCCCCAAAGAGACACAGTCATACAGCTGGTTGGTGCGCAAGAGGTCTGTGACAGCTGTTGAGTTTAGCCGCCAAATGCATCGTCCTTTGCAAGGCCACAGGTGTACCAGAAAAAACAAACAATCCCCAGGTTAAGCCCGCGTTATTAAAATTACCGAATTACATCACAATGCACGAAGACTAAACGCCTCCCCACAGTTACGTTACGTGGCTCGAGAAGTAGCATTCGGCGAGCGGCAGTCGACGGAACCGCCTATTTACTGAATCGTTGTACTCACCTACATTTTGAAACAAAAGTGTTGTAAATACACTAGACGTATTTAACATTCATTATTATATCACCCAAATCGCAACCGTGCATACCGATAAGTGTATTAGTGGATCAACGATTTTTTGGGGCTCGGTGCTCAGGAAAGCTGCCAACGTTCACCTCTGGGCATTCGAAGTTTTCGGGCGCAGATCGAAATTTCACACGCCGAAAACGAGATTCTGCGTATTTAACGTTAACGCATAACACTGAAAAACCATATGGTCGCATTTGAACGATGTTCTCGGCAAGTAACGTTACGTTGGCGCCCAGGCACTTGGCGCGCTGTAACGACAATTTTGGCGGGGCGATAAGCGCGGCTTTTTTTGCGGTAACGGGCGATGCAAATTCACAGATACCGATAAAAGTCATCATTGTAGTTACCTCAGTGCCCTAAATTGATCTTGTAACATTTCACTGGGATTTCTCAGACAAGAACATTATAAATCTCTGAACAATGATGAAGGTCCCAAACCGGTATGGGGGATGTGTTTGAAGTTGAACGGCAACCGAGCCAGTCTTCCTCTGCAGCTGAAAAAATCAGCTATGCACATGTATTGGTACAATTTACGACAGCTGGACCGAGATCGTGCATCTCCGAGAAGCCGTGCTAAAATTTTCATTTTAAGAGCTCGAATGGACTAGCAACGACATAGCGCCTAAGGGTCTCGGAGTTCAGCAGGGGTGCCACGTTCAAGTCGCTTCGAATTCCGGCTTACCCATCGTGGTTAGAGTAGTCCACGGGAACCGTTTGGTTGTCCATCGTTGGCGCGCCTTTGGAAGTGAACTTTAGCGAAGACTTTACGCAGCCGCCACTGCGATCTGCTATGCACAACGCGGCATTCCGGTCAACTTTGACCGCCAGCAGCCGCCGGTCCTTCGGCCAATGACCGATCGCAGCCGGCGCAACAGCAGAGAGCGAAAACCCGCGCTGACGCTCTGGCAACGTTGTCAAAATAAACGTGCGTTATTGGTCGATTTGAACATTTCAACGCAACTTATAAACATGTGCATTTAAAAAACTTACGTTTGATTTAAAAACTTAAACTTGCTATAAAACATGATAAACAAGTATTGATAAATTATTACAAATAGTGTAATAATGGCGTGCTTTATAAAATAACGCTTCCGGTACCGGTTTGTGTTTCGCACATGTTTGCGCAGGTCGCGCATGGCGGAGAAGTGCGGTGGAGAAATCTTGCGTCCGGAGTTGAAATTCGACTAACCTTCTTGAAAAGACGTTTTAGAAGCTAATGTTTGTCTCGGGGAATGCGCTATGACTTTGTGACCTCAAGGCGGGTGCACTGTGGACACCTTAGCTAGAGAAGTCAAGTAGAAGGTGAGTTTTTTTTTTTTTTTACGCGTGCGTTTTGCTCAGCGTGGTTCTAGTAGACGGTCTCCGAGTGTGTTCTTTTTCAAAACTGCTTCTCGCTGCGCTTGTCCTCGCTGATTGCTGCAGTTTCCGCGTTATTGATGAGCTGTAGACGTTTTGGTTCACAATGCAAACAGCTACAAACTCGGTGAGCGGGTTAACCCGATGCTAGTTTCAGAATATTTGTGACCGGCAGTTCACCTTCACGATGGGGGTTAGTCTAGCTAAAAACTGTTCCGTACTTGAAAGTGCAACTCTGATTTGTCTCGGGGTGAAGAAAATTGTCTCGTATAACGCGTGAGGTTGTCAGACAACTTAGATGTTTATTGCGTTGTGCAGGAGAAGTTGTTAGTTTAAGTTTGGGGTGTCGTTGACTTCTTTCTTGTGTTTGTATTTTCACATCCCATCTTAAAAAAACTATAGTAGTAATTTAGGTGGATGGGAAAGTGTTTATTTCAACAGGTCGATTGTTCCAGAAAGTGCAACGTACACTAGACAGGCGTCTTGTGTCATGGACACTTATTTTATAGGTGGCTGTACGATGTTGCCAGCTTCGTAGCCTCGTGTGAAAAACTGGCAGGAAACAAATGAAGAAGTGGACCATCTTTAATTGTACAGTTATGAACCATAATTGTAATATTATAGTTTATGAGCAAGTTAAGAGGCATGATTTGAAGTTTGGGGAAGATTGTCTCAAAAGGAGCTAATAATTTAAATTAGACTAAAATCGAATTGCTCACTTGTGTAACACTACTGGTATGAATCTTATGTGTGACCGCATGATTCTGCACAGTATAACATTTGAAAAGCAGGCAGTAAGCAGTTTTTTAATGCAATGTCGAAGGTCCTCGGCTGCCGTTATCATGAAAAGCCTGTGTCAAAACACGGGACCGGTACAACTGTGTAAAGATTTTCGGAAGACATGGCATCTTTGAGGGAGGCACCACTGCCTATGGTCACCTCAAGCAGTTGCACATATTTGTTATACTTCAGCTTTCAATATTGCATTTCACTTCGTGAGCACTGCACACGTATACACGCAGCCCATTTATGCGTGAATCGTGCCACTTGAACAAACGTGCCTAGAAAGAGTGACTATGTGTAGCTTGAAGAGCCAGTTAACAGGCTCTGACGTTTTTTACACTTCCCTAAAAAAGCTCAGCAATTCGTAGAGTAGACCGCAGCGATCACGTTTTCGGAATATTACAGTGCTACGCCCCGAGCTGAGCCTCCATTTCAAAAAACAATTCCTGCACTCCTTTCTTACGCCTGACCAATACTCCTTTCGCGCGCAACCACACAGAGTCGCCGACCGGCGACTTGACGTAGCGCGCAGCTCATCGATTGGTCTAAACCAGTCGCGATGACAGGCTATGCCTTCCCCGTCCCATGAGGAAGAAGGGTCGCGAGGCCGTTTCAAAATTTGAAATCACCTAAAACCGATGTTCTAAACCCTGTAACTTCCTTGATATAGCACGTATTTGCAAAATCTTTGTGGCAGTATATTCACAAAGCAAAAGTGCACATATTCCTCTTTATAACAATTTTTGAACCTCGGGGTTGTTTACAGGATCTTTAGTAGCATCCTGTGTTCTGGTAAGAGGCCGTTATTGGAAAATGGCACTGACAAAAGCTTGCCCTTCAGTGAGCCCACAATGGATGTGCTCATCCTTATGGATTGATTTGGCTTTGTCAGGTGCACAAAGATGGGCCTCACCGCATCTCAGCCGAGAGAGGTGAATGGGCCCCTTGGAACGGCTACGGTGCATACGCGCTTCGAGTCGTCGCAGCAACAGAAGTCACCACCATCCGAGTGCCCCATGCATGGCCTCTGCGACGAGATCACGGGCCAGCCTTCTAGGGACAAGCCACAGCAGCCGTACCGTAGCGAATGCCCGATGAATGCAGCGGCCGCGGGTGATGCCATCAACCCAGCCAACATGGTGAGCACAAAAATTTGACTGCAAAGTTGTATATGGCTATGGTAGCCTGTTTGTTAGCCAAAACTCCTAGTGTTTGTTATGGAACAGTGAAAGAACTGATGTGTATTGAACCACTCAAGTGGAGCACAAGGTGCCTTTTATGGAGTGGTGGAACACACTACTGCATTAGAGTGGGAAATTTCTTTGTAGTGTTAAGGTGTAAACTCAGGACCCCACGCTCCAAAGCAGGTGCCGTAAAGGACTGCCTAACATGCTATGTTTTTCAGTTTGGTGTCATATAAGAAAGAATACCATCTCAACTGTCCAATCTTGCAGCAGTTTCTCAGGAAAGCTAGTCGAAATTTTCAAACATAATACCAATCTACGTTCTGTCATCTTCAAATGTTGTAGAGGGGCTCACAACACTGGTTACTGCTCACGATAACAATGGTTGTGCCAGTGAAAGAACCACTTTTTTTTTTCAGGCTTAATTAGGTTTTAATAATAGTTGCTGACCTTAACTTGATCTGAGTGCCAAATGCAGCACATACTGGTTTGAAGTAGCATGATTTGTCGTTCGTGGTTTCGTTACAGCCTCCAATGATAGGTGCAGCCTCTAGATCACTGTGTATTGTGATGCAGCAGTTAATGCAACTTTTATTAAGCCCCAAAGACACGGGAAAGCTACCACACCCAAGTTGCAGGTTGCTGTTCAGCCGAATCCCCACAATAGACGACGACAACACCACCTGATGGTGAACATGCGTAGGCGTGCGCACGTGGGGACAGTGGGGCGGCTGTCTCCCCTAGCAACTAGGGGGGTGGGAGGGTCTGGCAAAGTCGGCCTCATACATTGACATTTATGGATGGGGGGGGGTGCTGTGATGAACTTTTGCCCCCGCCCGCTGAAAGGAAAGCCTGCACACACTTGTGTTAACATGCATAGATAACAAACATGTGCCTAATAAATTCCCTTAATATTTAGTTTCTGTCTTGTTCTTACTGTTTCTAGATGCCGAGCCCGAACCAGAAGCCAGCGCCAGACCAGCCATTCCCGCTGCCAACCGAGCGGCAGCGCTCGCGCATCCCGAAGGCCGGCGGTGAAGAGGGCGAGACGTGGGAGTACCCGTCGCAGCAGATGTTCTGGAACGCCATGCTGCGCAAGGGCTGGAAGTGGCGAGAGGCCGACCTGAAGCCCGAGGACATGGCACACATCATCCGCATCCACAACGCCAACAATGACCACGCCTGGGAGGAAGTCCTCAAGTGGGAGGCGCTCCACGCAAAGTAAGCGGCGTGAAGACCCGTTGCACTCAAAGGGAGTCCCTGTGCCCAAATTCGACGCGCCGAGTTTGAGACAAACGCATTCTTTGTGTCACGTTTACGTTATGGAAAAGTAGTAGGCCACTTATAAAAAAAGGGGGGGGGGGGGGGGCTATCCAGGGTTGGGGAAGCCGCTAGAATGCAAAGCTGAAATAATGATGGTCATTTTTGTTATAATTATCATCTCTTTAAGCATAATTTTCTGTTGGTTTTTTACTCCTCCTCTGGTCACATGGCTTGCATGCCAACTACTACTACTACTACTACTACTACTACTACTACTACTACTACTACTACTACAACAGACTTGCCTTGCTCTCGCTGAGGCTCATTGGGTCACAAGTCCGAGGGAGTCGAGTGGACTAATTAATGGTTGGGTATGATTCAAAGCGAGTCTGGCTGAGAAATAATTTAACAGTCTGAGTCCAGTTGAGGAAATTTTGGATTGTTCGACTCCAAGTGAGCCCCAAGAACAAAATATATATGGAGGACGAGTCTGAGTGAGCTCCATCTTTTATGCTAACCTACGACTACTACCCCAGCATAGGGCAGGCTAAAGCAGCTTCGCTCTAAAGGTGATTTTGTATTGCTCTTGATTCCTCGTTCACTATAGAACTGCCAACGGCGCACATGTCCTGAACAAGGTTTGAGCATGTGCGTCCTTTTGTTTGAACTTTGGTCGGCGAGCTGCTTCGATTTCATGATGGCACCTGACAACTAGGCATTTTGTCGAATATTGGGATCAGTAGAAAAGAAAATGCAAGAATCGATGCAGGCAAACTAGTTATTCGACATATAAATTTGGAATGAGAGCGGAGGACAAGAAGCGACATTTGCTTTCTCATTCAACATGCCCTGTCGAGGACTTATGCTGGTTTCAAGCAACGCTCTTATATACTGTCAGTTGGAAAAGCCCGCTCCGGAGGCGGCACCAACTCATATCCACTCCAAGATGTGCTGGCCGTACCATTGAGATCGAGCCGCCACCACCGCCATCTTCCCGCGGCAGCGTTGAATTTATTTATTTTTTTTAGTTCTCTTGCTCAGATCACAGCGGCGGGAGCTGGAAGGTTAGATTTCTGTCATCGCGAATAGTATTTAACATGGTACACGAAAATCAAGCATGCTTGAGTGAACATAGTAAACATGCCAACCTGCGGCGCGCCGGGCTGTCTAAGTCACTATGCCTCTGAGGAAAACACTTGCAATGGGCAGTACTTCTTCAAACCCCCCATTTACCTGGCAGTTCCCAAAGCCTGAATAGCTGCTATTCCACAAAAAGCCTTCTAGGTGACGGCCAAGACATACATTTCCAACTTACATTTCGAATCCGAGGACCCAATCACTTGCTAGCAAGCACATCATAAGGGGAAACGTGAAAATTCTATGGGGTAAAGAGACACCTAAGCCCCCTGCTGTTCCTCAGAATTTTCTGAATATTTCCGCGCACTTGCTTAATGGAGCAGCATTCAAGCGTAAAAGGAAACCACCTAAACTTGAAAAACCCGCGAATTTCGAGGGTCGTATGTCGGCAAGTGGTGGCGATGTGTCGGACGTTAATGGAGGAGAACAGCGATGTTGATGGCGTCCCCTCTAATTCCGAGCTGTGTCCAGAGGTAGCAACTTGGTTCCTCGCATTACAAGACCGAACAATGTTCCTATCCTAGAAAAAGGAGCTTATCCAGGAAGAAGATTTTTTTTTTTCGAATTCGTGCTTTGTGTTGGGCTGAAAGCTTCAAGGCAAAGTCAGCGAGAGGGTGGCGCTACGAAACCGAGTGGTTGATTACTTGCCCGCTCCTTAAAATATTGAGCCCTGCTGCTGCTTATAGGTTGATGTCAAAGATGAACATACTGCCTCTGCCGACATCATCACGACTTAAACAAATAAATTAAGGGAATGCCTAGCGAATCGGGGTTCAAAAAGGTTTCACTCAGCAGCATCGATTGTTGTGCTGGAGGAAGGCCGGTCATCAGTTAGTCTACTTGACTGGTACAACCTTTTGAAAGCTGTGTTTTCATTTTACGAATGTCGTTCTTCACTTTTTTTGGAAAAACAGTGGCCTTAATTATCGTCTTGCTTAGTTTATTAGTAGTGGAGCGTAATTTTTGTTGAAGCTTCACTAGTTTCGTAGATTTCTTCTTTTTTTTTTTCTTCTACCGAGCTCGCCAATTTTTCCTTGTGTTCTTGCATGGTGGGCATAAGTCTTTCCGAGTCAGCCCGAAAGTGCTCCTCCACACGTCTTGGATCTTCAGGGCTGATGTTGCGGTCTAAATCGAAGAGAATAAGCTGCTATGACAGCCCGTGCATATCTTCAAGTGATCAACATAATTGAGAAATGTTGATACCATCTGCAAGCTCGTAAATTTCATCTGGCTTCCCAAACTATGTTCGCTGTATCCTCACGAGGGGGCAAGCTTCCCTCTACAACTGAGGACAAAGGTGAAGTCTTTTGTTACCACCACTGTCTTGTTGATTACGAAAACAGCTTTGTTTTGAATACCTTTTAAAAAAAACAGCCTCCTCCTGGATAAGCTCGACATTCCTGGATTGGAACTTTCTGCGGTCGTGTACTGTAGGCAACCAAGTTGCTACCTCTGGACATAACTCTGGATCAGAGTGGATGCCAGTAGCTTCGTCAACATCGGCGCCAGTTACCGACTCACGGCCCTGGAAATTCGTGGTTTCTTGTAGTTTTGGGAGTTACCTCTCGTGCTTTAACGCTGCTGATTTAGACAAGTATGCAGGAATATTCAGAAAAATTCCAGGAACAGCACTGGGCTTAAGTGCCAACCTACCATGGGGAATTTTGACAGCCTTTTTACCTACTATGTGCTCGCAACAATGGATTTGGTTCTCGGATTCGAAATGTAGGTCTTCACTGTCACCTGGAAGGCTTCTCGTGGAATAGTAGCAGTCCAGGCCTTGAGAACTGCAGGGTTATTTGGCGTTTGAATAAGCGCCGCCGATCGCAATTGTTTTTCTTTGGAGGCATAGCTACTTTGACAGCCCGGCGCGCAGGTCGGCATGTTTATTATTTTAAACTGCTAATTCACTCAAGCATGCTTGGTCGTCATGTCACATGTTGAATACAAATTGTGAAGAGCTTTTCCAAATAAAAGTTATTTAAATACTGGCTGTATGTCATCTAATGCACAGCATTCTATTTTTTTTTTTGAATAATTTTTTTATCACTTTGGAAGCCCTTCTCCTAACTCCTTTCAGCTACAGTCAAAGGAGTTTGTGTATGAAATGCATCTTCACACAAAAATTATACCATTTATGTCAGCTGTGCAGATGTGGGGCTTGCAAGGTCATCTATGAAAGCACAGCAGGATTGTGGTGCTGATTTGCACAAGACTGCATGTGTGACCTGTCTATTTTTCTTTACCTGCCCCAACACGGTGGTCTAGTGGCTAAGATACTCGGCTGCTGACCCGCTGGTCATGGGATCGAATCCTGGCTACGGCGGCTGCAGTTTCGATGGAGGCAAAATGCTGCAGGCCTGCGTGCTCAGATTTGGGCGCACGTTAAAGAACCCCAGGTGGTCGAAATTTCTGGAGTTTTCCACTACGGCGTCTCTCATAATCATATGGTGATTCTGGGACGTTAAACCTCACATATCAATCATTTTTTTTTTTTTTGCAATGCTTGCATACCGGTGTCGCCGGTTGTTGGTGGCGCTGCAGAAAAATATTTTTTCTTAGCTGTTCAAAAAGAACCAACCATTTCTAAATATATTCTTACACGCAATTTATACGATGTGTGATTACAACAGGCTCCTTCGCCTAGAATCGTCCACAACCTGAAGGCGCACCTTGTTCACTGCAGAGGGCAAGGCAGAATTTTTGTCGCGGGGAAGGGGCATCACCTTGATGTGAAGAGGGTGCTGGACAGACAAGTGTGGTGAAGTGTAACTTTTTGCTCTGTAAACAATAGCGGAAAACTGGGGGGGAAGGACGGTACAGGCCTAGTGTGCCACACCACTCAGCCATTGCTGGGAAAGAAATAATCCTACATTTTTTAGGTACAGGCCTGGACCTTATTTATCACTAAATAGTATTCATTCGGCCCTCATCTAGCTACTTTATCTGAAATACGCGTATTTGGAAACGAATTTCCCAATGTTTCGCATGCGAAGGTAGCAGACGACGCTCCTTCACCAATCCTAAAGTGACAGCAGTGCCGCCGCTAAGCAGGATATGGGAGGGGGCCGCTCCTCGTCGCGACCGCGCGCGCTTACCCAACTGACGGTATCTAAAAATGTTGGTTTCAGTTAATATGTGTCTTTCATTCGGCAGTAGTAAAAGCAGTTGTTTATTGTGACCTTTACGTGAGAACCCATTTCTAGACTTTCTGATGGACAGCCTAGTGTAGCCAAAGCAGAATCGTGAGTTGTGCTAGTTGGTGCACATTCAGAGTGGAATAACCGACTGCACGACAAAGTTAGAATACAGCTGGAAAGTGAGTCGCCAGAACTGTGCACATGTGTTGCAAAAGAACATGCATCATGTCTTGCCGGATAGATAATTGTAGTGATTGTCTGGTGGAGTAATTGATCGGTGGCTTGTACAATCGGTGCTGAATATTATAAAAAAAGGGCTTCAGCTATTGTGCATGTGCACTAATCAACCTGTCCGTCTTAAAATGGTTCCCTTAAGGTAGGGCGCACAACCGCAGGATCTGCCATGGACTGCCAAATGAGATGCGACTGCACCACCCAAAGCCAGTTGCCAAGTACCGTTAATGACATCTGCTGTGGACTTCTCGAATCACAGTGCCTAATACAAAAACGTTCATTACGTCATTCCTGTCACAGTATGGCAAAAAGCAAAAAAAGAAAGATAGTTCGCATTAGTGATTTTCTTGCGTCCGATGCTGCCACACTCGTAGAAAGATAAAATTTGACTGTTGCAATATTGCCGTAGTTGATGTTAGTGTCACGAGGTGGTGTTGTCGCAGTTCTCGCAAGCAAGATACCTAGAATAGATCGTCCTTGTCGCTTGATTGCAGGGAGTGCTGCACACCCCGTCTGAAGAGGTTTGGTGGTAAAGCCACAGACTACTCGCCTCGGGCAAGGATACGAAGCTGGCTCGGGTCAGTGCAGCCTTGTTGTTCCTTGCATTGAACTGTGAGCGTGCGTTTCGTTGCTATTTAAGAATAAACTTTCAACCATGGCCACCGTCATGAGAGTGATAAAACCTAATTTCTTTTTACTTGAAGTATTGAAATAGCATTTTCAGTTACTGTAAACCTCGCACCTATTAAGGGGAGATGTGGAATGACAAAAGAAAAGTTTTGTTAATTTGTAGCTTAGGGCAATGAAATTTTTTGCTGTATGTACAAGCTTTTATGCTGATTTAAAATATGTAATTAGTTTTCTAGTAAGTTGCACAGTTTTTGTTTTGTGTCATGGCAATGTGTATAGTTTATTTTGGATAAACTTTTTATGCCGCTAAATGTTTATGGTTTTGAGCTCGTATTGCTCCACATTAACTGTGTAGTACGCAAATAACTGTCAAGGAAGTGCTTGTATGACATTTTAAAGGACAAGAAAAATTGCTATGTTAGAATTTTTGCAATCCTCAGCCCATACTAATTGTAATAATTATACTGGCGGTATCAAGTTTTTTAGGACATAGGTGCACCCTTCTCATGTCAATAAATATGTGGGAATAATTTCATCCCAACCGGGCTACCAGAAGTATCGATAGCATTATTTCCAAACTCAAGAAGTTGCCCAAAAATAGATCTTGAGAGAAACAAATTTTAAAGGTACAAGCCAAAGCTCACCATGCGGCAAATGTATGTTCTTTAAAATTTTTAGCTTTTTAAAAAGTTCTTTTTAGCTTTTAGTAGCCACCGTGTGCTCTTTGAAAGTGATTTTAATCTACTTCGAGCTTAATTACAGTCTTCAGTGTTTTTTGTTGGGGAAGTAAGGAAGCAAATAAAAATGAAATATAGTTAATTTTGGAAAAATCTTGCAATTTCTGACTCCCATATTGCCTTAAAGGTTGGAGAAATCTAAATTTGTTTTTCAAATTTAGGATGGTGGGTTTACTTATAAGTTATCAAGAAGAAAAAGGAATCAAGTCCTGCTCACGTCTATGTGTTTTGTCCTGCACTGGTTGTGCGAGGTTCAGTTCAATTTCGATGTGCCAATATTTATACAGTATATAGGTCTTAGATTTAAGACGATGGCGACAGTGCATGAAGTTTGTTTGGTGGATGTGGCTGCATCTATGCTACCAGGCCCAGCTGCGTCCAATAGTGTCCAGCCGAACCATGGTCACCGTAGAGCTTCCAACAACATTTGATTGAAGGAGCTGCAGTCGCGATTGTTCAGCCGTCATGGGAATGATGGGCATTACGAGGAATTTGCCCAGTCTTTGTGTTTGTGGCTTTGAATGCTCTCGTGGCCTTGTTTATGGTTGTTGTAGCTTTTGTCTCGCCTAAAAGAGTGAGTCATTGTCAATCTCATGAGCTGATTTCATTCGGCTAGCCTAGACGATCAGGATGGTGAAGATTGGCTGTTGTTGTTTCCCTGAGCTTTGTCTTGCCGAAAAGTGCCTGCAGGGCATGTGTAGCGGAAAGAACGAAGCTAAGGCTAGATTTCCATGCTACCTGAAGGGCTATGTGTTGCGGCCCCCATAGACATCGCAAAAATTTCTTCCTTGAAACAAAAAATGTAATGATAAAGTTTGGCATATGAAAAGAACTGTTTATTTGCTTCCGACTTAAGTATAAGATTGATTTTTAATTAAACCACCACATGGTGCAAATTGCATCTCAATATGGACAAAAATAATGATTTTGCGAAATTAGTGAATTTTTTTCGTAACAATTAGCATCTTGAGAGGTCTAAAGATATTTTTTCTTCAAAATATACCTCCTGTGATGTGAGTATTTACTACTCAGGCATTTATACAAAGTGCAGTATGCAGTAGAAAGAATGCAAATATAACACATTTTGGCTAAATTCTTGGAGGCGTATGTGCCAGTAAAATTACACAAATATTACTGAGCTTCAGACACGTTACCCAAGAACCTCTACTTAAAACGTAGACTAACTTTGGTCTAGAAAGATGTAGTGGTACTTTTAAAATAAATTTTTCCACAAACAACACCCAAATGACATTCCAGGAAGTTCAGAAAGCAGCCACGGGACCAAAAATTTTTTTCTCGGAACTATTCTACCGTTTCACTGTTTTCAATGCAGTGAATTAGCACGTTTTTTTTTTTTTCCAAGTACATTTTAGATGGTCGTCAGAATAGCTGGGAAGTTTGGCATGGAATGACCCAGATCTCTTTCAATTATTGCAAATGTTAAAAAAAAAATCAGGTTGTCCATTACGGTGCCTCTTGGAGGCAAGATTCACTGCCAGTGCTGGCATTCCCTTTCGTGGCGAATGCTTTAATATTGCACAATGGTGCGAAAAGTCTTGCAACATTGCGTACAGATATATATTGGTGCCAGATGGAAACAAAGAAATGCACGTTAAAGGAGCACTGACATTGAATTTACTCATGCCAGGATTTTCACGTCAACGAGTAGCTATAGACCCCATAGCAGCAATTCGCGACCTAAAACGCTACTGAGGGATGAATAACTATCACTTTTAATGATTTATATCACAGGTATCTAGCAACGTTCGAAATGGCCTGCAATCCTGCCATTTTTAGCACTGGGGGCACTACCAGTGGCGCGACCTCACGGTCACCTCCAGATCGCACCACAGCTGACCACTTCTCCACAAAAAAAAGTGACGTCAGACTCAGCTGCTCCGCAAGCATTTCGTCTGCTAGGCGGACGCATTCAGTCATGCCTTCTCACCTCTACTGCCGTCGTCACCGTACAAAGTGTCGACTCGGGTTGAATACGATAGTCTAGAGCTTGGAATACCCGCGATTTGCGACATCGCAAATTATTTTTGCTTTGATTGATTCTTTACAAAACAGCGATTTCAAAATGGATGCCGTTCCAAGCAGCACTGAAAAACTGCCCGAGGATGCCATATTCACTCGTGTGTCTCAGTTAGCTATATTAGTGTGTTTTGGCGTGCACAACATTCAGGTATACGCAAAAGGGAATAAGTACAAGCGGAGAAATAGAATACCTTTCCTGCTTGCCAGGTTCTTCTTCGCGCCCCCAGATGGCCCCATCTATCCAGCCTCTCGCAATTGCGGCGGGAGTAACCTGGTATTGGGCGGACGCAAAGAAGTCTACATACGAACTAAAATTCAACAATACCTGCGTGTTACTTGCTAGCGATGGTATCTGTCTATAGGCTGTTTCACTTTGATAGCTTGTGGTCATGTTGGCTTGTAACATATACTTGATATTAAAAGACACCCTCATTGCGCTTTTTTCACCCTTCGAACGAGACGACTGGAACTCACAACAGTTCTGACATGCTGACCGAGAAGCACACATTGACTCATGCTCTTTTCTTTCGCCGTTATTTTAAAAGTGGTAAGTTCACGAAATAATTCAAAGCGTTGCGACGAAGATCAGGCGTGACGAGCGAGTGCGTTTCCAGTCTTCGGTGCCAGTCAGCGCCACGATAAGAACACTCGGATCGCAGACATCATCGTTACTAGCGCATCCTCACTCAAATTGGTATGTGTGGAATGTATCACACCGAACATGTAGTACTAGTGTCGATGTCGCAGGGCACTCCATTTTCACGTAACTCTCGTATGCTGTTTGTTATCAAATAAAATAACTTCCACGTGATGGATTCGATTCAAATTTGGCCAAGACGACCTACGCACAACAAGCAATCGCAGGAAGGGCACATCTCAATTCTGAAATTTGATGTCAGTGCTCTTTTAAGGTCACTCAAGTGCTTTGGGTGTGAGTCGTGAACCAAGAGAATTGAGTGTTGTAGCAGAATGAGGCTATAGACACTTCGTAAATCGACGCACTAAATGAATCAAGTTACACTAAAAGTGAATCAAGGGAAGAGTGCATCACAGTCACAGGCGTGGGTGTCGGCAGGGGGATGCAGAAGAGGCTCTGGTTTTCTTCGAGCCACACCAGCACTAGCCCCCCACCCTCACTATCGCAATGCTTTACCCCTCCCCAGACGTGATGCTTCATGGGTTTGCACCCCAGGGCAAAATACTGCCAAGTGCCTACACTCATTGTCACACAGCACAGGCTTTCCCACCTGTGACCGTCTTAGTGTCACATAAAGGGACCTGATGTTAATGAGGACCGGTAATAATGAAGCCAAGGAGAGTGCAGGAGACGTTAATTTTAATATACAATCGTGTATTGTAGCATAAGTGTGATATAAATTTGAAGGAAATATAGTAGATGAGATGACAAGTTGACACCGGCAGGTACCAGACATGAAGGCGACAACTTGCATTTTGTTTGGGGGAGAGGGGGGGGCAGGACAGGGAAAAGAGAGCTGGTGGCTTCAGCTTTGGTTATCATTATAGAAATCATTCTTATAACAGCCTATCTTACTTACAACTGAGTTGTTAGGCTGTTACAGAGTTCACAGTTAGGCCCAACAGTTGGGCAAGCTAGAACTCTGCCAGGAAGGCCATTTGGCTGAGTGTGACTTACATATTTCAGTGCTGTCATCTCCTGCTTGGTTGACTTCGTGGGCAAACGATTCAGTCTTCGTGTTCTGCTTTAGTGACATGTCCCTTCTGTCTTGCAGGTACGAGCTTCCCTTTGACAGGCATGACTGGATTGTCGACCGGTGTGGTAAAGAAGTCCGCTACGTCATCGACTACTACGACGGTGGAATGGTCAATGCAGAATCGAGCCGGTTCGCACTCCTCGACGTTCGGCCCGCCTTCGACTCCTTTGAGAACATCTGGGACCGCATGAAGGTGGCGTGGTGGCGATGGACGGTAGCACAAGAGCCGGAATCCGTCTCTGAGACGGCTCAAAGCCAACAACAAGGCGCTGCAGCTAGCCAGTAGGAGCCCCAGTGTAGAACTTTCACCAGTATTGCTTACACACATGTGTTGGAGGCAGGCGTGCGCATAGCTGCTGGTCACATCACGAATTTGGAATTCGTGACGTGTCCCTATTCGCGTGCCAATTTGAATGATGCGTACAACTTGGCGAGGTATCAAGAGGACGTGAATGCATCTCCTTTTGGTTTGCACTGCAGAGATGGATATGTCTGGTATCCACCAGTGGATCATGTTAATGTGCTGCGTATTCCGTGCAAAATCGTGACACATAGAAAATGTTGCCCTAAATTTCCTTTTATGATTCTAGAATGTGTCTGGCCCCTCATTCTAGTTGAAGCACTCAAAATCAGGCTTTAGGTTACAAGACGAACCTACCAAATGTATTTGACTGAAATTTTCAACAAATATTATTCAAGATTTATTGCATGCAATGGAACATCTTAATGAGGTCTCTCTGGTCACAGCCACTTGGGTAGTTTCGGGCAAATTCGATGTCTGCGCACTTTGAACACGGTCCACACATTAGTTCATACCTGCCAACTCTCCTGACTTGCCCGGGAACAACTCAATTTTGCACATGTCTTCCCAGTGGTACGACCGTGGTCGTTATTCTTAAGATTGGTTTAAGGCAGTTTTTTTGGGGGAGACTAAGTACTACCGCAAAACAACACACTTATACAATGCATCAATGAAAAAGGTACGTCCACTCACCTCGAAAGGTTCGCTGTCCGCTGCACTGTTTCATGTCATCCGTAGGGCTCTCCTCCTTTCACCAGAAGCACACAAACACGCATACATCCCAACCGCGGACACTTGTGAACACAGCCCCCACTATATAGCCTTGTTTCGGAATAAACACAGTAAGATTGAAAAGGCTGGAATGTTTCTGTAGTAAAAGTGTTTCAGTCAAGCCTCAGAGCCACTTCGAATGTTCCAAAGCCACTGGCATGGGGGCTTTATACTGGAGAACTTGTAGTGAGGAAAAATTTGACGCAGTCGCAAAATTTGTTGCATGCTGAAAAAGTGTTGCACGGACCCTTTGAAGTTGCCTTATGAGATGGGGAAAATTTTATCTACTGTTCGCTGAAAACAATTTTTTCCTGCAATTTGAAAGCAATCTTTTCCTTCTCATAGCGAGTCTCCCGGTTTCAGAAGTCCATTGGTTGCCAGGTGTGTTAGTCGCAACGGCTGCGGAGAATCTCTGAGTTGCAATGCCACTGCTATGCATGCAAGGCGATCACACCAGGATTCTAGTTTTGTTAGCTTTCCCCAAGAGAAAACCTTGCTTCAGTCAAGCACGTTACTCCATCTGCACGTTTTCTGCCTAGCGTACCTAAGGCCGCGTGACATTTTCTACCACAAAATTGCATTTTTCAAGAACAATTTGTTACTACTACTCTATTATTGCATATTCACTGTTCTGAATTTTAATGTGGTTTGCTATTCGACACTTGCCTCTAGTCGATTGGGGATATCTTCTTGCTCAATTCCAAAGCATTAAAGAAGCAGTTGTGTTTACACAATCCTGTCTCTTGTCTTTGCATTTTCTTTTACAGTGTTTTTTATCTTTACGATGTCGCCACAGTTTGGCCGTGTCTGGAGGGCCCTCGCACCTGATTGCATACGGTGCGATCTTTAGTACCTGCCAACAAATAATGTGTCTCTGTGACAAGTGACAAGCATATACAGCAGCGCAAAAATGGTATACAGCTGCAAGACAGCAATTTCCACAGTAGGGCATGCTTGTATAAATATCCAAAAAAAGTTTTTGATGAGGACATAGTGAAATGAAAGTAGTTATAAAAGGGCTTGTACACCACCCACAGGTAGAAATTCAGTTGTGGTAAGAAAATTGCGCACGAGTGTACGACAAACACAGGGCCGTGAGAATTTTTTGAAACGGTGCTGTAATAGCGGAGTTGGACACGTTTGATTATCGAAACCACGAGGATCACTCATTTTGCTCTCTCCTGCACTTCTCTCCGCTGGTATCCTTTCCCAAGCCGCTTTGCTCTCTCGCCGAGCACCCCTCCCAATGTCGGGTGGCATACGTCATTGCTAGCCCACTGCTCGAAACACCATCTACTTCCGGTTGCTGCAAATCCGTCAGTTGCTTGTAGCTGCGTGCTTGTTGGTAAATCGTGGCTGCCGTAATCTTGCCGGTATGGATCCTGCATTGCGCGCACGCCTTCAAAGGATCGTCAACGCGATGGACCTGTACGTGGACACGCTGACCGCAGTAGCTGACTCATGAGCGGCTGCACGCACGTGGGCAACATGACGAATGACATCAAGCAGCGCGCACAGCTGTTTGCAGACTGACCGAAAGTCGTAGGCCCTTGGTCGACCAATGAGCATATTTATGGCACAGTGCGTCACACGTAGTCCCAAGAGGACCGGAAAGGAGGAGGAATTGTTTCTCGGAATTTGTGGCACGCCGACGGCTCGTAGCGCTGCAACGTGTAGATTGATTGATCGCGCCGGCATTCTGCACAAGATGCGCGTGCTTACTTGAAATGCTTGAAAAAAATATCGGAGGTGGTTTACGGGCCCTTTAAACCCATATGAAATAAAGTTTTCATGTGGCAACCTTACTCATCGATAATATTTAGCACAATGAAACATGAGGACAAAAAAAGGAGAACACACCACGTGCGCTGATTTCCAACAGAATATTTTTCTTGGAAGTTAGAGCATGTGTTGTGTCCTGCCTTCTCATTCTTTTCTCTCACTGCACTAAATAGTATTACAAGATGTCTTACCAACAAGGTTGCATTTCTCCTCGTCCTAATAGACTCAAATTTAGAGCATTTCCAAGACTGAACTGAGAGCATGGAAATGCACGCAAGCTGATTGTTGATGAGTGACAGTAAAAGCACCAAGTATGCCCCCCTTTTTTTTGATTATGTGTCGAAAATGATGTTAGATTTTTTATTTCAAGCAGGTGAACTCTCTGAACCTCTTTCCCGACTTGGTGCACCTTTCTGCTTAAACGCTAGTAAAATAACGCACCCTCACACCCTTCTCCATTCACAGGGACATTAAATAGAAGGAATGACTTGGTTTAAATTGACAAACTACACTCTGTGAACTCTAGTGCCATGTGTTTCATTTTCATAAGTGCATTTTTAGCGGAGAAAATCAAGGTTGAGGTCTCATTCTTAAATTTCATGCGGAAATCTACACGCGTAACGTGAAAGTTCAAAATGCATTTTTGGTATTTCTGTATCACTGGCTCAATGAAATCTCCTGAAACATTGTATGCCAAGTCTATGGCTCCCACAGATGACAGTATTTCATTTTTATTGATTGGAAGCTGTGTGGGACCCAGTAGACGCCTTCAGAATTTCTTAAATCACGCTGTTTCATGCAGGAATTTTAAGGTGACGTCGCCATCCGCATTTTCTTTTTGCACGTTTTCTCGCTTACCAAGCGTCATGTCGTGGTAAGAGTCGTGTTTTCGGGATTGTGAAATTGTATTTCATATGGTGTATTTAGGACGTTAAACCCCACATATCAATCAGTCACGCTGAAAAGCGTGTTGATCTTTAGTGTCCCTTTAAGGTTAAGGAATGCACCGTAGTCCTTGCTGTGCAGTGTATCATTTCTTGATGCATTCATAACCAGCACTGTTGTGGTAATTTCTTTAATAGATACAGGAAATCATTTGATGCTTTTCTGTCTAAGCCACTTTTGTGTGAGCTGATTCTTGGCTTCAGCAGATGACTGCAGAATAAAATGAAATAAATACTCACATGGTCACTTCATCCCTCAACAAGCTGGCTGGAAGGTGCAAGTAATCTTTTTCTTTCCACTTGATGATCCTTTCCTGCCACTCTTCGAAAGCTTTCTGCATCTCGCCTGGTTTTGCAGTGCCTTCGTAATAGGCCTATCATTGACAAAACTATGAGGGCAGGTGATGACCTCACAAATTTTGCCGATCTGTGGCGTCATCGTCGCGTGGCGATGATTCTTTGCACTGCTTGCAATGATGCTGATGCCGGTTAATATTCGCATTTGATGAAGCATGTAAGGTTTTCGTAGGCAGAACTGAGTGTGTAAGTATGAGTGTGTTACCTGAGGTGCGAAAGCTTGGACGTAATACGGACACAATCATCATTTGTATTAGGGGCGTTATGTCTTGTATGCCTATTTTTTCAAGCCATGAAGCGATGGAATTCGTGAGTTGTCAAAAAATATGGGAAATGAGCAGTGACCTCTGAAGACCTGGATCAAAAGGTGTGGAATTAGTTTTGTGTACCTTCAGTCACCAAAACGTAGTGGACACGAGTCATTAAGATACTGTATATTAAAGAAAATGTTTTTTTTATATTAATGGCAAATTACAATTGTAAAACAAACACGATGCAATGTAATTAAGAGCACAATACGTTTATAGCTTTTTCTAGTTAAGTCATAAGTTGGGGAACCATTACTGCCTAAAGGGACACTAAAGTCAAATAACAATTTACGTCAGAGTGACAGCTCAATGTATGACATCTAAAACGACAATATTATCAACAACAGTGCCCTAATTACCGAGAAATTAAGGTAAATGCAGAAGAACACAAGCGCCGCATTAGGACATTCTCAAAATGATCTTGATGACTTCAGACGGACCGCCTACAATTAATCACTAATAATCGATCCAGCTACACTTAATAAGGAACCTTCTGTGCATCAAGAGACGCAATAAAATGCTGCTTGTTTCTTCTATTAGATACATGGAAAAAAAAAAAAACGCTGGACGTTACTATGAGGAAGGGCACGAGTGGTTCAAAATTTAATTTTTGCGGAGTTATAGAGGACAGGTTGTGTCATCTAGCGGGGCGCAGTTGAACCAAAAAATGTCTGCTATCTCGGAGCCATTGACGGGAAATCGATCAATGGCCTTTGGTGCTGCTGCGGCTCCAGCTGCTCGATCTGCTGCTACTAGCGCAGTAAAGCCGGGCAACGTTGTGCACGGCGACAGTGACGCGAGTCGGTCTGCTTCTTGAGGTGGGTAATTTTAAGTGCGCTAACCCAATGTGCACGACTAAAACGTGATTTTATTTCAATATAGGCCCTTCCGTGGCACAAAAGTAACACTACGAGGTTTATGGGCCGCTCAGTCAACTCAGTCAACTCAGTCAACTCTAACACTTATTGCTCTAACACTTATAACTTATTAACTCTAACACTTATAGCTCAGTCAACTCTAACACTTATTGGGAATTTTGCAGCAGCAAAACGTCATGCAAAGTTTTGCTTGATCTTGTTATTACCTGCTCATAACAAGCATTGCAAGCGATAACCCTGACGTTATCTTGAGTGCACTTGCTCAACAAAGATTTTGGAATGTAGTAACAATATAGTATTCATTTATGGAGCTCATAGAAAGGCTTCTTTGAGAGAGCATATGTATGATGGCAATTTCCTTGCAAAATGTTGCACTTGAAATGTGAGCGGGCATGTAATGAAAAACTCGCGAAGAACGTTTGCACCAAAGTGGAAACGAATGCTGGCGTTGACATTTGTCAGCAGTGAAACACTACCCCGAACGCATAACTTGTCCACATATAACCCTTTCAGTGGAGGAAACGATCTGAGGACAGCATGATAGGGGACGTAGACGGGCTGCCATATTGGGCTCCGCTTGCGTTGTTTGCTGTGCTAAAACAGGCTGAAATAAATAACCCGCACGTTCATAGTTGTGTCATGTTGTCGACATGGCGGCTAAAATCGGGCATTGCCCGCAGCTCTTTGAAACCTTGAAAAAGCGACATGCTTGTATTTGCACTATCTGCTAACGAGCACATGTGTCTCATTTTCTGCTTAATGTACTCTGCAAGGTCTTCTCATGAAAAAATCAGAATGTAGTCGTGTCTGTAGCTTTCCTATGACATCTTGCTGCTCGTTTTGAGCAAATTTAGTTTAGGCAAAATTTTGGGCTGTACACTTTTAAGTCAAATGAGGGTGATTTAGTTCTTGGCTGGATGCTTGAATAAAGAGCTTCTATCCAAGAAGCTTTCTTTCATGCAGCACTCTGATATGGCCGCTAATTTGATTCACTGCCTTATACTTTTTTTTTCCAAATATTTTTTGAACATTTGTTGCAATGGCCTTAAAGAGCTTGTTTCACAGAAATTCCAGTGTTGCATCTTCTTTGGTTGTGAGCGAGAAAGCAGTGTTGGCTGGGAGTGAAAATTTGAGGTCGATGGAAATTGAGCATAAAAGTCAGAGGGTGTTTGGACTGACTTTATTTGCGGCACAGTTTTGGTCTCGACCAAGAAACGAGGCAGGCTAGTGACTAGGAAGGCTATAGTGCGGCATGCATATGTCGCTATCACGTTAAACTCCTGAAGGCGAAGCTTGAGGGTACCTTAATTTTTTATCTGAATCAGCTAAGAACTTTCAGTCCACTGAAGTGTGTAAGTGGGCAATTCGGTAGTTACTTATGCTAACGTAGAGGTAGCAAGTAACAATAGAAACAGTGATTAGCATTGTTATCTACTCCTCTCTGTTTATGTTATTGTGAACAGGTATTCTCTTACTCAGCATGATTAAGTACTGATTAGCCAAATTATCACTTTTAGTAAACTGGAAGTTGGTACGCAAGTAATAAAGTTAGCTTAATCGTCTCCTGCACAGTTTTAATGTACATGCAAAATCTGGGACAGTGCAATGCTTTGCAAACCCGTTGGTTTTTTGAGATCTGGTTGTATAGAAGTACAGAATGTTGCATTTGTTGGTAGCAAAATTCATTATGGAAGTAGGTAAGGCATACAAACACTGACGCAACAGATAGTAACAAGAAAAGGGAACAAGCAGGCTTGTTCTTTTCTGTTCACATTTAGACACTTTGTCTTCTTTTATGCTGGTGCTTTATGCACATCACTTAGTATGAGTTACGTACAATAATTAGTGATACAAGATAAATCTCTTAGTCTCTTAAATGTCATAGAGGCTAAACACAGTTGGGAAGTACAAAAGTGTTCGTAACACTTAACGCTCGAGCAGAACATTGTCTCTTGCAAATCGATACTTCACATGGGAAATGCAGTTTTCTCAGATGTGATGGTCTCGAAGCCTGTGCTGCCGGCTTTATATCTTTGTGTTGGCTGGTGTGCTACTCACTTCTGTGATCTATTTCAAGTAGACAATCGTATACGAAGTGGCTGGCATCTAAAATTTCACCCAAAATTTGTGTTTCTGCTATTGTTGTCCCCCTTGGTGGACTAGTGACAAAAAATGTGGCGAAAACCAGCTGCCTTTTTATTTTGACACATCGAATATTTATTGTTTGGGGGAAAAGGCTGATCAAGCGAGGGAATTTTAGTGAAAAAATTTTCTAGAAGCCCTGCTATAGCTATGATTTTATATTCAAAATACACAGGAAATCGTATCGCTACAGAGTTTATACCTAGAAAACTTTGGCTTGTTTCCCGAAGGTTGGTTCTAACTCTTGTAGGGTCTGCTCAAAGTCCCTAGATTTTTTAATGAGAAAACCTGAGAACTTATAAAGTCCGCTCTTACGTAATTTTCTCTTTCTGACTGAGTGATCCAGCTACTGCAGGCTGCAGAAACATACCTTTGGGATGCAATAAAATTAAGACACGTGCTGGGCGCCTTGAGAACCTTTGGAGATCTCGGTAATTTTTGTAGACGTTATAATATGCTTTGTGATCGACGTTTCCTGTCGCGCCTTTCGTGCGTTTGTGTATACTTTACGCTGGTGTTTGCGGCGACCATTTACGCTTAAACTTAGACGTTTCGCAACAATTCTTTTTGTTTCAAGTCGAGGCAGCAACGCAATTTTAGGCGGCTATGTTGAAGTTCCACTAACGCTACGTTCGAAGAGTGACGGCAGCGTCAAGGAAACAGCGCCGGCCCGCTGCGGTTCGTCTCGGAAAGACCAGTTTCGGCGCTTCGATCTGTGTTTTTTTTTCTTGCGGTTCGTAACGGACCGTGCGGAAATGATCAAAAACCGTTCGAGGTCCGTACTATACGGGCTGGGAATCTTCGCTCCGACTACGCGCGTTGATCACCTGCCGCGTTCACTCCGCTTCCAGACGTGCGCGCGCGCGTGCCACGCCGCCGCGCTGTCAGCACGACCTGAACGCCAGGGGTCGCCACCGTTTGTTTAGTCACGCATCGCTCGCACTCTACGCCTCCTCTCTTGTTATTACGGCGAGCCGAGAGACAAGCCAGCGCGCGCTCCTTGCCACTGCGACGTACTACGTGACAACGCTCGTTTAGCGCTTCAAGTCAGTGTCCGCGCGTGCAGCTAAACCCGCGGCGACGTTTCTGAGAACCGAGCCCTTTGCTGAGTGACGCCGACGAAGGCGGACAGCGTAGCGGTCTTATTTGGACTGTGCTTCTCGCGTTCAGTGGTGTCCGCCATATTGTGTGACGGGTTGACCGACGACGGCGGAAAAAAAATAACGAGGAGGCATTTCTCTTCTGCGCCCTCCTCTCCCGCGCGCCCCGCAGCAACCACTTGCTGCATGCCATCCGTGTGCGACACAAGACGTGGGCCAAAGTTTTAAATGAATTGCGTCGCTATTATGAACGGGTGAGTATTTGGTCCGTTTGGTTCCATTTAATGCATGCCGATTTCATTTTGGCGCCGACGTGCCCGTGGTAGACGCGCGGACTAGCGCCGGCGTCCAGCTTTTTCCGACCCGGGAGTAGGAGAAAAAGGCCTAGCTGGCAGGCGCTCAACTGTTGATTTGTTCCTTTTTTTCTTTGTGCGTCGGGTACGGTCAAGGGGGC